TTCGCGGCTGCATGCAGAGTGAGGCGGGACTTGGTATGGTAAAAGCAACGGTCGAGGGGTCAAGGAAGGGGAAGAACATGTGGCACAGTGGGAGAGGTGGTGTGGGTGGGTGGGGGGTTGGGGGGTAAAAGGGGGTTTTCTCGATGAGGTGAGATCGGGGGGAGGGGAGAGTGAGATCAAGAAGAGGGGGAGGAGCGGCACGGGAGAAGGATCGCACATTGTACGTCGTGCACAACGCCGCTTGCTGAGGGGTGAGAGAGAGCGGGGTGGCCCGGGCAGGTCGTGCCCCTTTTTCCGCGCCGTTGGGTGGCGTGGGTTGGCTACGGGTTTATAGGTCTTCGTGGCACGTACGTACATTGCAGTCAGATGTTATTTGGAAGTTGATGGTTTGATAATCGAGCTACCTGTGGTCTTGGCTACGTGTTGTTGAAATTGCATTCATGTTGAGCACTCGATATTCCAGTTGACTGTTACTGACGGGGATGGATGTGGTGTGTCTAGGGATAATGCTTCCATGTTGAAGATCCTCCCTCCGTCGGTGAACGCCACCCAAAGCAAACACGGCGGAGTCCCCAACGCAGCTTTGGGTCTTCGGTGGATGCGTGTTGGCCCCGGACCTGCCCAACTGCGTAGTCACGCCGGCAGCTATCCGCTCTAGGCACTTGCTCATTACGAGGCCTTGAAGCGTTTCACTTGTTCTTCTCCTGCGTCTCGTTGATGGCAGCTGCCTATCGAACCGCCACTGTGGAATCTCGAGCACCGGTTTTGGCTGCCAGAACATCAGCTAGTGGCGGGTCTATCCATGGGTTGCTTCGGGCTTGCGTACGTGACGGAGGGTGCTTAACTGCCGATTTGTCGATGGCAGCTCTAGCTCCCTCTCATTACAGGGAGCATACTAGTAGAGTTGTGGCAATGGTGGCGTGGGCTTGGGCTCATTGGGTTCGTCTCAACTTTCCACTCTCAAGGAACGATGCTGCAAAAGTATTCGCTGCAGTGCTGTCGAGCCACATCTCGCTTCTCCGGCACCCTCGCCTGTCTCTCCAACAAGAGCGTCGAGGTCGAAGGACGGTATATCGCATCGCGCGCATTCCAATTGCCCAGCGTTCATGATTCGGAGATTCACATGTTGCTAAATCTCGAATCACAAGTTACGTCTCCGAGGTTTATTTGATTACGAGGGGCGATTCTCGAGAACCTAACTCCCATCGAGTAGCAAAGCCGGCGAAGCGTTGTGCCCGGCGTCTCGGCTTTACTCTAAATGCTGATGCCTAGAGGGTATTTGCCATGATGTCGTCGAAGTGGAATTGCTTCTCGCCAACCCTTGCTTTGGTGGACTTTTGTTTTTTTTCGCATGAAGTTGAAGCCCAATCTGGAAATGAGCAGGACGGTGGCTGTGAGGTATCGGTCTCCATTCGTGGCGAGGGACGTGCGTGGGGACAGGAGGCCCTAACAATATTAGGCGGGTTTCAGGAGGGAACTTGTTAACGTTGCATGAATAGAGCGGCCGAGAGGATTTGCTGCTGTCGACGGGCCTTGATGGCCTGAGCTGGGCTGTTGCCCGAAGCTGGAGGTTGGGATGAGGTTGGGGTTAGGGATGTTGAAGACCCCGGTCATCCGTCATCCATCGGGGAAGGTCCGTCATTCGGGAGATGCGCGGAATGGGGCAGTTGGTTTGGGAGTCAGGGATCGACTTGAAGTATGGAGTTTTTGGTTGGTCGCTGGCTCGTTTGGTCCGAAAGTGCTCACCACGACCTCAACTTTCTCCTGTGTCTCCGATCGGGCCTTTGAAGCCAACGGTCTACCGCATAGAAAAGGATTTGCAAACCTCCGCTCAGGGTGGTGGTCGGGCCCGTTGGCATGCAAGGCACCCCGTCGGAGGATTTGTTGGTTTTGCCTTCGCAACGTTGCTTTACCTTTTCACCTGCCGGCGGGACTACCGGTTATCCGCCGGTGGCAAGTTGTTCGTTCTTTTTTCCGAGATCCTCTTCGCGCTCCCGACGGGCATTGAATTCTAGAAACAAACACGCATTGGCCTCACTCGGCGTCGCCATTCCCACAAGAATTGAGCAGCGTCTCGCCTGGGGAGCCACCTCATGGCGGCTTCCTGCGCCGTCAACGAAAGCCAAGTGGTGGTTTGTGCATGTCATGGCTGGCGGCGGGGCCCAACCCCGGGTTCAGGGATTCTCTGGCTCTGTGCGCTGTCTTCGATTCTCCATTCTCGGCCCCCGATTGCCGGTTCAAGCCGGTTTCCATCATCTTCTGTGGCCCGTCTCGTGTTGTTCAACTGCTTGTTTCTCGTCTGTTACTCTTCGTTTGATTCCTCGATTGACAGCCGCTGAGGTTGAGATGTGTGCATGAGCGCGCGGCTGGCGGTCTCGACGATCAGTGCAAGCGCGGTGGTTGTGCGCTGGATCGCCTGGCGTCTCTGGTCGGGGCCGGGGGTTCGCCTGACCAGCCATGGGCACGGGCATGGGCATGGGACATGGCAAGGCGCTTTTTGAGGGTTTGCCCACTTTTTGTTCAGCCCACTGAGATCAAGCCTGGCGGGGCTGTCGGCGGGGCTGCTGGCGCGGACTCGCCGCCATACGTAAGCAAGGAGGGGTTAACTAGTGCAAGTGACGGCAAACGCAGCGCTTGCACCGCGGGAAGCAAGCAAATGGGAAAGCATCGACTGCTTTTTATGGTTTCCGATGCGGGTAAACTTGGCGGGAAACATCTGCTATTTTGGCAAATTGTCGCACCCTCTTCTCTGCACATGCTGTCTTACTTTGTTTCCTGACCCTCCTATTCTGAGCGACTTACGGAATAGACGCACACAGCACAACGTCCTGGCAGTCTGCCTGCAGTTCAACAGTGCTTAGGTAGCCCACACCTAGCAGACTCCTCGATTAAGGGTGCGGGTGAAGGCCTAGATCGGGGTGGGCGCGTGGGATGCATTTGGTAATGGGTGTAGGTGGTCTCGTCCACCCGCGGTCCGCCTACTTTTTCGTTGATCCGCCTGGGAATGTTGGAAACACAAGTGCCCAAGAGGGTAGACGACAACTGCTCTTCTCCGTGCACAGTGGTATTACCGTTATTCGTCCGGGTTAAGCCGATGGCGCCTGTGGTTTCTGCCTCTGACAAGAAGGTTCCAGGCGTCGGGTGCGGGTATACGAGTCCCACTCGGCAGTGTGTTCGCTGGGCTGCCTCGATACGGTCGTATTGGGAACTTTCCGTCTTGATGCAGCATTGAGCTCGTTTTACCAACTTGCAAGCCTGCGAGTTTTGACAAGAAGTCGTCCCATGTGCGCAGCCGCATCCGACATGGGCAGCCCCTGCACAAACCGAGCAAACACCGATTATCCAGTTGAACAAGCAGACAGGCCTATCTTTCTGGTCCCGATGTGATTGATGAGCTTGGGCTTCAGTTGGAAGACCGAGGCACGAGCCTGTCGTCGCAAGTGGACTGACCGGACACGGGCTCCAATGGGACGGAAGACAGGGGTTTTTGGGGCTTGTTCGAGGACGCTCGGTGGGTGAGGGAAAGGGGGCGGTGTTTCAAGTTCATGCACTCGGCCAGTCGGGCGGCTGCGGCCAGGTTCCCCAGGATCTTGCCCAGACCACCACCTCGCAGTGGTCTCCGCTCGAGGGCCAATCAACCCTCCGTCTGGGCCTACGAATGCGGCCAGGTACCCTCAATTTCTGATTGGACAGCATTTTCTGCACCCCTGGCATATCGAGATCCACAAGTGCCGCTAGAAGCGGCATACCCCTGTGCTTTTTTTTTCTCTCAGGCCTCCTTCCCCTTTTTGGCTGCACGACGAATCCTGGTTGTGTGCCATCCTCGATCCGCGATTCGGCAAGAGTTGTTGAAAAGCCCTGGCGAAGGTCCGGCAAGGGGGAACCAGCTGCCCCACCTCTCAAAAGTGCCACTGACAGACGACAGCCAAACGTGAGCCAGCGAACAAGGTCGCCGTGCCTGTCACCTGTCACACCAACGCTTTTTTGTCTCACTGAGAAACAGTTTTCCACCAAGAATACGGGCAGCGGGACGCCCACCACAGTCACTGGAGAACTTCCACCTCCGCTGCAGGTCAAACTGAGCGCGCGGCTGCCATCACACACCTGACTTACGGACGCAGGCGTGTAGCCGGCACAGTACTGCGAACTTAGAACTTACGCAGGAGGGTAGAGATGCCGAATTGGGAAGCTGTAGAATCCTGTCAGTGTCACTCGAAGCGGGAAATATTCCATTCACCCTTGTCGCTGTAGGCGGCCGACTTGCCACAGGCCCGCAGGATGGGCAGCAAGCGGGGGTTGATCGTGCAATTCCTGGTCCTTCGTGCCAGGGGAAAAAAAGGGAAGAGACGAGAAGGCCACCGAGGCCAACCAGGCCACATGTCTGGGCATCGAACATCGGACAAATGCGGTGGGTGGCATGGGTGGCCACGTCGCCCCAGTCTCTCCCCCTGGGCCTTTTTCCCCCCCACTTCAGGGCTACCCCTGCCATCCCAAGCGGCGTCTTACCCACAACGGGAGAGTCGCTGTGTTCAGGCTTGGCTCTCTGAACGCTTGGGACGAGCGGACCCTGTGTAGCTAGTGGGGTTCGAAACAAGCCAGCGCTGCTCGACCTATCAGCCACTCACACCCAATCATTAAGGGACGAACGGGGGAGAACAGAAACATCAGGATAAAGGGAGCAACTCCCCGCCCTTTGTCGATGTCTTTTTATTCTCTCCTCATCACCACGGCATCGCGCCTCGTTCTCTCCTTCAAACCAAACAGCTCCAGGCACGGGCTTCATTGTCTTTTCTTCACTTCCCATTGTTCTTGCAACAAACACGGTCCCTTTGGAACCACTTACACACACAATTTTGAGCCCGGTGCTTTTCGATTGTGATTCACAAAAAAACAAGCCGAACAAGCCTATTGTTTCCTCAATAGCGACAAGCCAACAACAGCTTCACAACAACACAACACACAAAGCCCGTTCATTCCTTCTTGAGGCTCACGAGCAGCGCTCGATTTCAAAAGACAACAACTGCTGGTCCTGTCAGTGACTACTTCGCTCCCTGCAACTTCCAAACTCGCCTATCCGGCATTTTTGAGCGCGCGATCGCACAAACGAAACAACCCACCACCACCACCACCAAAAAAAACCGTCAAGATGTTCAACTCGTTCACCACCGGCGCCCTTGCCCTGCTCGCTGGCAGCCAGCTTGCGGCCGCCCACATGGAGATCTCGTACCCGGCTCCCTTCCGGTCCAAGTTCAACCCCAACGCCGTCAACGTCGACTACACCAACACGGCTCCCCTCTCCGACTCGGGCTCCAACTACCCGTGCAAGGGCTACCACTCGGACTTCGGTACCGCTGCCGGCGCCCCCACCGCCCAGTTCGCTCCTGGCGGCAACTACAACTTCACCGTTGTCGGCGGCGCTCCCCACGGCGGCGGTTCGTGCCAGGTCAGCTTGAGCTACGACAAGGGCAAGACCTTCACCGTCATCCAGTCCATCATCGGCGGCTGCCCTCTCGCCTCCAACTACCCCTTCACCATCCCCTCGGATGCCCCCGAGGGTGAGGCCATCTGGGCCTGGACCTGGAACAACAACATCGGCAACCGCGAGCAGTACATGAACTGCGCCGCCGTCACCATCGGCGGCGGTGGCAAGCGCGAGGTCCAGACCCGCGCTTCTGCTGCTTTCTCTTCCCGCCCCCAGATCTTCGTCGCGAACATTGGCAACGGCTGCAAGACCACTGAGGGTTCTGATGTCCAGTACCCCGACCCGGGCCCGGATGTCGTCAACAACGGTGGCAAGGTCGGCCCCCCCGTCGGCAACTGCGGCTCCACTGGCCCCGGTGCTGGTGCTGGTGCTGGCGCTGGCGAGGGTTCTGGATCTGGCTCTGGCTCCGGCTCTGGCTCTGATAACGGCAACGGCAACCAGGGTGGCGATGCGCCGAGCTCTACCGTGCAGGCCACGGCTGCTCCCGCTCCCACCCCTTCCAAGCCTGCCCAGCTCCCTGGGTATGTGTACCCTAACTCTACTACTACTACTACCATGTCTGTGATCTCAAGCTTACCATCTTCTAGTGGCGTCTTCATCACCCCTCCCGCTGCTGAGCCCACCACCCTCGTCACCCAGACCGCCGTCGCTCCTCCTGCTGCTACTGGCGGTGCTGGTTCCGGCTCCGGCTCTGGTTCCGGCTCTGGCTCGGGCTCCGGTTCGGGATCCGGCTCCGGCTCCGGCTCTGGCAACACCGCCGGTGGCCACGCCCAGGGCACTGCCTGCACCGAGGAGGGCGCCTGGAACTGCATCGGCGGCACCTCCTTCCAGCGCTGCGCCAGCGGCGCCTGGTCCGCCCCTCAGGCCGTCTCCGCCGGCACCGTCTGCAAGGTCGGTGAGACCGGCACCCTCTCCATCGAGGCTGCCAGCTCCAAGCTCCGTGTCCGCCGTTTCCGCGGCGCCTCGGCCAAGGTCCGCCTCGCTCCCCAGGCCTAAGGGTCGACACGACGCGCGTGCATTTCACTTCTCAGCCAGGTGCTTGTTTGCTTGTTTTGGACAGCACCACGGCCTTGGGTCGCCAGCAATTGTTGGGGCTCACTTTTTTGCATGATTGGATTGCGTCAATTCTTCTATACCCCGTTGGCTGGTCTTCTTCGTCCTCTTAGGATAAGGATCGGAGGTGGCTGGTTGACTTTGATTGTCACTCGTTCATTGAGACATAGGGAAGGCAAGACTTTTTCTGGCCCTTCGTCAGGCGTTTGACCATTTTTTCTTCTGCTTTCTGCTTTCTGCTATTTGGAACTTGGATTGGCAAGCGGTTGGTTGTATGTAACAGTACCATCGAGAGATCTGGGGCACTCGCTAGAGAAAAGAGGGCATTTGGGAACACACCCTTGGGATATACATGACATGACGTGGATGAATACTACCTTTTGTTTGACTGCGCCTTGCCGACTTTGACCCCTGACACGAGCCTGACGTGATGAAGGATGCGAGTTTATGCGTTGTGTTTTGTGGGACTGTTTGGAGGCCAACCAGAGGCGTGTTTCGTTTCGCAAGATGATCTCGTGCATGTGCTCATCTTGGATGGGACGATCTAACAATACGTATTTAGAACACGGCTGGTTGACGGTTATGTGTGTCACTGTTTCGTTTCCCCGCCCATCTGTCACCTGTTTAGCAAAGCTCTGGTGACAGCCGTGGCGTGGCATGACACACCCGCCAACACAGAGATGGTGTTTCGTTATCACTCATTTGACGAGGTACCATGACCAACATTGATCGAACACAATCCATCCACAACCACACACAACCACGGTGGGCGTACGAGCCCTCCGTTTCATGCACCAGCCTTTCTTGTCACCCGTCAACGGTGAATCGGTTTTCGGCGACTAGCTTACACCGAACCACGCATGTCAAAACGGGTTACATAACTACCTGTCTTTATTTGGGGAGGCAGGCTACAACCAAGCGCTTGTCATACTCGGTCTGGTCCGAGACGTAAGTGGCCTGAATAGGAGTCCGACTCTCCACGAGCTGTCCTCCTCCTCGTTCCTTCCCCACCACTCAGAAGCTAGAGCCCTCGTTCATAAACAACACTTGCGCACAAGACTACCACATACGACCATATCCACGAGAAAATACGGGATCCCGTCCGCTCTCCCCTAGTCAAACTCGTGAGAGCCAAACTAGTACTCAGGTCGGTGACGACTGGGGAATCCTTGGTGTTGTATGTATTTTTGTTTTTTTTGATGCGTTGGAGCACGCACCAGAATCTACCTTTATAAACGCTATTCACGTACCTAACCACCACATACGACCATATCCACGAGAAAGTACGGGATCCCGTCCGCTCTCCCCTAGTCAAACTCGTGAGAGCCAAACTAGTACTCAGGTCGGTGACGACTGGGGAATCCTTGGTGTTGTATGTATTTTTGCTGCTGCGTGGGAGCACCGGTAGGTCGATCGGCTTTGTCACTCAGCGGTTCCTTGTATCCATGCCACAAGCCATACTTTTTACACCTTCACTGCCACGAGATGGCGCCGTATTACGAGCCCACTACTAACGAGGAGCGGTCATGCTCGCGCAATCAACTTGAAGCTTTTTTGACTCCCAACTCCATCCAAAGCGGAACACACACTTGAGATCTAGACACCAAAACCCAATCGAAAGAAACAACGGCCAACACAGACAGCTTTTCTCTACCTGTGCACTTATCACCCTCCCCCCCTCGTCACCCTTCCCCTAAAAACAAGGAGACCTGCCCCTTTCTATGGTCCCTTCTCTTCGCATCCTCTCTAGAAATGCCCAACCCCTCCCGAATCTACCTCCTCACTCATCACCAAGCTCGGCACAAACCGCAACGTATTCGTGCCCGCCGTAATGACCAACAACCCCCTCTCCCTCGCAGCCCTCACAATCGCCGCCGGGTCCTCACTCAACTGCACGCCCAGAATCAGCCCCTTCCCCCTCACCTCCTCCACCAGCCCGGGGAACCTCGCCCTCAACCTCTCAAACCCCTCTCTAAACACCTCCCCCTTCCTCACCACCCCCTCCTGCAACCCCCCCTCCGCCAACCGCTCCACAATCCTTACCGCCACCCGACACGCCAACGGATTCCCCCCAAACGTCGTCCCATGATCCCCAACTTTAATCCGCTCCGCCACCCACCCATTCACCAGCGTGGCCCCAATCGGGAACCCATTCCCCAGCGCCTTGGCCGTGGTGACCACATCCGGGTGCGCCTCCTTCGGCAGGTGCGCATGCGCCCACAGCCGCCCCGTGCGCGACAGGCCGCACTGGATCTCGTCGTAGATGAGCACGGCGCCGACCTCGCGGCAGCGGCGCGCGAGCGCGGTGAGGAAGGCGTCCGAGGCGACCTGCACGCCGCCCTCGCCTTGGATGGGCTCGACGAGCACGGCGCAGGTGTGCGGGGTGACGAGGGTGGGGAGGGAGGCGGTGTCGTTGAGGGTGCCGACGCGGCAGCCGGGGATAAGGGGGGCGAAGGGCGCTTGGTATTTCGGGTTGGGGGTCGCGGAGAGCGAGCCCATGGTGCGGCCGTGGAAGGCGTTAAGGAAGGAGACGATTTCGTGTTTGGGGTTGGTGGTGCTGCCGTCGGTGGCTTTGGCGGCTTTGCGCGCGAATTTGATGGCCGCTTCGTTGGCTTCGCTGCCGGAGTTGCAGATGAATGCGGCGGTGGCGTCGTGCATGCCGCCGGAGGCGAGGGTTTTCTGGATGAGGAGTTTGGAAAGCGTGCCGGTCCAGGGGTTGTAGTAGAGGTTGGAGGCGTGCATGAGGGTTTTGGCCTGAGTGGGGGGTTAGTGGCTGCTAAGGTATACTGGGGAAAAGCGGGAGGTGAATTACCTGCTGCGCAATCAGAGTAGCGATCTCGGGATCGCAGTGGCCGAGCGAGTTGACGGCAATGCCGGCGGTGAAGTCGAGGTACTTCTTGTTTTCGATGTCCCAGAGATAGGAGCCCTCGCCCTTGACGAAAACGGGCGGCGGGCGGGCGTAGGTGGCCACCATGTAGGGTGCGTGCTCGCGGACGAGGGCGGCGCTGGCCGAGTCCTCTGCCGGATCGGGGTGGGACAGGGCGGCGTCCCTCTTGATCTGGGCGGCCGTCACAGACGAGGCGCTCGAGGTCGGCACGGTGGTGGCCTGGGAGTAGAATCGGGCTGCCGCAGGGCGGGCAGCGACGACGAGCCGCAGGGATGTGCGAAAGGCCATTATTAAAGAATTATGAGACGAGAAAAGTGAGAGGTAATGAAGCGGTGGTAGGTAGTGAGAGTGGTTGGGTTCAGGTGAAGGCGAGGAAAGAAATGGACTCGATCGAGGGTCGAGGGAAGAGGTCAGATTCCGGTGAGATGACCGAGAATCAATTGGAGTGACGAAGTCTCCCCGAAAGTAGACGACTTATATCCCTTCAATGGCGACGACTTAGCTTGTTAGTCACAGCATTGGTGTCAACAAGAGTCATGCTTCATTTCACTCAAAAACCTCAAAGCGATGTCGGGAGCTGGGATTTGACCCACACCACCAGGAATTATGTTATCGATAAGGGGCTTGGCGCGATGTAGTGGTCTATCAAGGTTCTCGGAACTCAGAACAGAGAGAGCAACGAAGGAGAACGAAACTGTCAATTGTCAAGCCGGTCAACTTCTCTTTGGCAACGGCCTCTTAGAGCTATCTAGCAGGCATTAGCAGATGTCCATTGGCCACATTCAGCCACCACACGGAACAGAGACGCCACAAAAAGTCAATTCGTTTCTAGCATCATCATATCATCTATGACTCAAACTATTCACGAAATGCAGCGAGAAATTTCCCTATCAGCTCCAACCAAATCAAAGCATCGCTATCAGTCGCACGTCATGGAGGTATATGATTCGTATGGTTAATAGCCCCTGGGCCCCGGACAACCCCGCCCTCCTCTTAACAGATGGCGTGAGTCTTCCCGGTCTTCCCCTGGATCGAGTGTTTCTCCTTCTGTAATCACACAGTCAGCAACACGGCGCTTGTCATATCACAGAATAACTATGAAAGAAAAAAATGGGACATACCCGGTACTTGGGGTGGTTATGCGGCGCCTTGCCGCTCGCCGTGTGGTGCTTATGGATAAAGTCCTGCTGCTTCTTGATGCTCTCGCGGTCCATCTCCTCGAGCAGCTGCTGGCTGAGCTTAATATCAGCAATCAGGGCGTCGCACCGGTTCTTGGTGAAGTCCTCGCGGACCACCACGCGCAACATCTTGAGGTTCTCGGTGTGGGGCGCCATCGTGTAAGCCGGGACAACCCAGCCCCGCGATCGCAACGCGTGGCCGAGAGAAAACTCGTCATAGTTGCGGCCCTCTTGTGGCGGCAGCCGGAAGGCGACCAGAGGCAGGCCCTCGCCCGACTTTTTGGACATGATGACGAAACCGAGCGCCTCAAGCGAGTCGGACAGGTAGTTGGCCGTGCGCGTCAGGTTGCTCATGATGGCGCGGTAGCCGTGCTTCCCGAGCCGGATGAGCTGGTAGTACTGGCCGATGACTTGGCTAGCCCCCTTGCTGAAGTTCAGCGTGAACGACGCCTGGTCGGCACCCAGGTAGTTGATGTTGAATACGAGCTCCTGTGGGAGGAACTCGGCGCTACGCCAGACGACCCAGCCCACACCGGGGTAGACCAAACCGTACTACGGGGGCTGTCAATATACGCATAGTTAGTGTTTTTGAGGAGCGAAGGTTTACCTTGTGCCCGGACACATTGATCGAGACGACATGGTTCAGCCTGAAATCCCACTCGAGATCGGGCACAACAAACGGCGCCACAAACCCACCACTGGCCGCGTCAACGTGAATGGGCGTGTCGAGTCCCCTCTCGTTCAACAGGTCGTTGACCGCCTTGACGTCCTCATACTCGCCCGTGTAGGTGGTGCCCAGGATGCAGCAGATACCAATGGTGTTCTCGTCGACCAGGTTAACCGTCTCCTCGGGGTCAATGACGTAGCGGTCCGCGGTGCAGTAGACGAGCTTCTCCTCGATCTCAAAGTAGCGCGTCGCCTTCTCCCAGCAGACCTGCACGGCCGACGACATGACGATGTTGGGCCGGTCGGTCGGCTTGCCCTCGGCCACCCGCTTGTTCTTCCAGCGCTTCTTCATGGCCAGCACGCCCAACATGATCGCTTCGGAGCTGCCGACGCAGGACGTGCCAACGGCTCCGGCATCGCTAGAGCCGACCGGGGCGTTGAACAGGCGGCCGATCATGGAAACACAGCGGTTCTGGATGTCGGCCGACTGGGGGTACTCCTCATAATCGATGAAGTTTTTGGAAAAGGACTCGGCCATGAGCTTTTCGGCTTCATCTTCCTGGGAGTTGTCAGAACACAAAGCCAATTTCTTTTCTACCAACCGATTGGATGCCTACCATGAATGTCGTGACAAACGAAGCCAGGCTGGTCTGGGGTGAGCCTCGTCCTGGCCAAATTGTGTGATTTAAGGACTCACTTCAACATAGGGTTGCCGTCCAGGCTCAGGTCGTCCTTGATCATGCGGTAGGCGACCTCCCTAGGCATTTCATGCTCGGGCATCTCGTGCCGGGGCAGATCCTGGGCGGCAAACCGCGAGCCGTAGACGCTCGTGGTGAAGCTGTCGTCGTCATTGGCCAGTTGGAGGTGGACTTTTTTGATGCCGTCGACAATCTTGTTCACGTCGTCCTTGGGCTTGATGGTTTGAAGGTGCACCATGCTTGCGATTGAGAGGGAATGATGCTGTGTGCAGATAGGAGAATGTATCAATGCCACAAGCAGCAAGGCTGTTGAGATATCGGGAGTCAACAGGTGGTTTTGTAAGTGGCAACGTACGTGTAAACTTCTTTTTTGTTCAACTTTGTCAGTCAAAGGGGGATGCAAGCGAGGCACATGGGAAGTTTGGGCGCTGGATATCTCCCGATCGGGGAGGTGGGGTTCAGTAGATGGAAATCGGCAAGGCACTGACCGGTCTGATGGAGTTACTCGATGAACCAGAGGGGTTTATCTTAGCAGCAACTTTCGAATTCAAGATTCAAAGTAAGAGAACGAAGCTTATGAGAGTGAAAGGAACTATGGGACGAAAGAGGCCGCCCCGCGTCACAGGCCGGAGAGGTACGCAAAAGAGGGGTCAAGCTCCAGTTGGCAGGTGCAGCACAAAGCAGCTGCTTCCCGCCGGGCAATGTGCTCCTCAATGGGCTGTTTCATTGGGCAGCTGTGATGCACTCACTCATCCTCCCCTCCTCTTCTGCCCGGTTTCTTCCCAGGTTTCTTCCCATTGGCAAACCCTGTCAGAGACAACCTTAGTCAGGTCGATGCATCCAGTCCCTGGAAGGTGCCGGGCTCTCGGGGTGGATGCGAGGGCGAGGAGGGGTGGAGAGCAACCTAACCGGGGCTCGTTGTGGCACTCTTCCGGCACTGCTCCCACAAAGCTTGTTTTATGCAGTCTTGTCGATCGGGCTTGGCGAATCAGGAGATGGAATTGACATCACACTTGTCTTGATGCAGCGCTGTCTAACTGTTTTCTCCATCTTGCTTCCACGCGACATAACAGGGAACCAGGCATTGAGTGGATCTCTTGTGCGGAGGTTTTATCTGCAACATGTCATCACCCAAAACCCACCTCAACGACTCAATTCGGGCCATTAACGACAACACCCCGCTAGGGTACTCAGCGGGCGAGAGACCGCTACCTTCCCAACAGCCAAAACACACCCTAGCGAGCATAAGTATACGCCGCGGGGGACCAGTCTGCCGGCATCCGCACGTCACCCCTGACCACACCAAGCCCCAGTTCCTACACTCTCTAGAGTAGCCACTACCCTACTAGCTCCCCGCCGTTCGCTGCCCCAACGGGTGGTAGATGACCGCTACTGCCTAGTCAATTCCCGCGTCCCGGACCTGACGCTCGCAAAGGCCTGGCCGGCTATAGGCGAGGAGGTGCGGCGGCGCTATGTCCAACGGGTGGCTGGGATAGGCGAGAAGATGGCAGGGTGGAAATCTAAAGCCGCTCGCGGCGTGGACGGGGGCAGGTGATGGAGTTGTATCTGGCCACCGATGACAAGGGTCTCGAGCCGGAGGTGCTGCGCCGGATTTGCCTTGGTATGGTCGTGGATGTCTCGAAGCTGGTGTTTCACCACTGTGATATCTATCGGCTTTGGCAATATCCTGGCCGGGCCTGCCACTCGTGGGATGGGTGTTGTTGACTAGGAGGTTATCGATGGTTTTCAATAACAGTCATCGACTGTACAGGCCACCCATTGGGCTGGACCCTTGGAGAGAAGTACCGCGGCCCCGACCATCGGTTGTATCCCCTCGTCTAGTCAGCCCCGTAGCACACACATGTCTCACCCACACACAACGAGCAACGAGCTAACCCCATACTAACTAGTATTCGTTTCGTTCCCCCAACTCACACAACCCCCCCCCCCTCCCCCTTCTCTTTTTCCCCTCAGTGCTCACAATAACAGGTACAAACACACCACCCCAACCAACAATCCGACTTCCAAATATGATCCACCACCTTCTTGCACGAGTACCCCTTCTTCTTGGCCTCCTTCTTGCAGGTATTAAGGCACCGGCCGCCCCAGTTGGTCTTGCACCCGCCGGACGCGTTCCACTTCTGCGACTTGGCCCGCGCGGCAAGACCGCTATCGTTGGCGTTGTCGTCAACCGAGAAGAAGAATGGGGTGGTGGTGGTGGTGGTGGTGGTGGTGGTGGTATCGTCAGAGGGCGGCGTGTCCGTGTTGCGCTGCTGCAGCGCGGCGGCTGGCTGGTCTGGGGCCGGGATGGCGGTTGTGGTGGTGGTGGCGAGGGTGAGGAGGAGGATGAGTGGGGTGGGCTTCATTTTTGGCGGGCTTGGGATTTATGTGGTTCTGTGGGTGTGGTGTGGTGTAAAAGTGAGGCTGTGAGGTGGGTGACTGGTTGGTTGCTGCGATGTGTGTACTGACTGACAACGTGTGGAGCGCTTGGTGTGAGGAAGGCGCCCCTTTATAGACCGTTGTTGTCAGTGAATGGCGATGGTGCCCGGTAGCATGACGATCCGTCTTGCTTCTCGGAGCCGTTGTGAACTGCCTTAAGGCTCCCAACGGCGAGGATGTTGACCCGATCGTGAGCAGGAATCACCGTCGCGCGGGCGGCTATCCATCAAGAGATTCGCCGGCTCGTTGGGTAAGGCGGTCGGCGGTGAGCAAAACAGGCATGTGACACCAACGACAGGCAGGCTGAGCTGGTCTAATGGAGTGGAGAGACAATATATTCGTTCCTGAGGGGTGCCTTGAGTTAATATTTGGGCTCTTAGATGGCTTACGGTTGCAACGGAGGATGTCTTCATGGGTGGGTAAGAATGCATGTCACTTTGGTGTGCTCGATTAACTGGCATCCAACTGATGTTTGTTTACCACTTTCACACCATCATCAGTCTTGGCTGGTGTTTTTCGTCTCTGGAATAAGATTGAAAAAGGCAGCGAGGGCGGGCGAATGAGGCAATGGTTCAAACGGAGGGGCCCAACTGCCCAATCAACGAAGCGGCAAGTGGATGTGCATGTTGGAGATGGTGGGGATGGCAGTTTGTTTCTCGGGGCCTATCGAGCGGGGAACAACCTAGCGTTTCTCTCCCGTGCAAAGTACGCTGTGGACGCTCTCCGGCGCCAAAAGTTCGACGTCAAACACCTCCGAGGTATTCATTCAAGGTGCTATCAATGCGTCTCGGGCGACGATGGCGTTTTCTCGGGAAAACCAGGCGCCGTTGACATACGACGAAATGGGAAAAGGTATACTACGATTCCTTCTCTCTGCTCTCTCTTTCGTTTGTATTCTCACAGACTTGTGAATTCTCATCTAATGTATTTGTATTTCATTTGAACCGGGACATGCCTGCTTGGTTTAGCATCTGTAACCCTACCCCCCACACTTTGTTTGTGAATATAAGTCCACCAAACTAACCAACCCACCCTCCCCAGCCCTCGCATCCCTCGACGACGAGATCGGGGCGAGCGACCTGCTCATGAGCGTGGCGCCGCTGCGACTCATCTCGGTGGGGGGGTCGCTGGCGGTGCGGGTGTGCCACAACCGGGAGGCGTCGTACGACATCGACTGCATCCTGGACCCCAACATCGCGGCGGCGACCGACTACCTGGTGGAGCTGCAGCGGGCCATCTCGGCGGTGGCCGAGCAGGGCGGCTACATCGAGGACTGGCTGAACCGCGAGGTCGAGCTGTTCGTGTCCAAGGACCGCCGCATGGACCTGTTCCTCGAGTCGGTCCAGCAGGGGATCACCATCTACGAGGGCGCCAACCTGGTCATCTACGCCGGCCGCCTGAGCTGGGCCCTCGAGCGCAAGGTGCGCCGCATCGCCCACGCCCGCGACCGCCGCGGCAACAAGGACGTCGACGTGTCCGACGCCGCCGCGCTCGTGCGCCTGATGAGGCGGGCCGGGGAGCCGCCCATCAGCTTCCGCTACATCCGGGAGCTCAACCTCAACGGGTTTGAGCTGCCGCCCACGGACGAGGCCATCCAGGAGGTCGCCGAGCTCTACGCGGAGAAGTACGGGGAGGTGGGCATTGCGGACATGATTTGGGATGCGGACACGGCCAAGTGGAAATACCAGGGTCTCCAGAACGACTGGGTGTGGTGCTGAGCTGGAATGCGGGGAAAGAGGGCGGAGATCATATCCTAGCTGGGAAAGCCGAGGGAGGGGGGGGGCGGCACAAAGCTGTCACCAAACAAGACAAATTTGACAAATTTTTCTGGTCGCGCGTTGGCTGTCAAAGGTTCGTTCGGGGGGCCTATCAGACGGTGTAGAACCACCCGGTGGCCATGTAAACGTTGCGGCGGTGGAGGGGGCTGTCGAAATACACGTCTTCCTCAGGGTGAATAACGAGCTTCTCCTGCAGGGGGGGCACCTTGGCCGTCCACGACGGATGCGTCTCGGGCGTGAAGGGCAGCGCGTCCGCACTGCGGTGCACGATGGGTTGGTCGGTGCGGCGCAGGCCGAGCTCCAGGCGCCACGTAAAAGAGTCGACCAGCACGTCGGCCAGGGCCGCCATGACGGCGTACTGCTCCGGGTCGGCGCACTCGGGGTCCGGCAGGTTGGCGACGGCCCAGCGCGGCGACGACCGGCGCCAGAAATACTCGGTCTCGTACGTGATCATGTGTCCGTCGGCGGCGCAGAAGGCCTCGTAGAGGCGGTAGAAGGACCGCTGCGGCGTGTCGCGCGCGCGCCACAATGGCATGGAGCGGAGGTAGATCAGGTCGCGGACCCGGCAGCGGACGCCCTCGGGGTTGGCCATGATGGCCCTCGGGGGCGGCGGGAGCACGGCGCGGAAGTCCCAGGTCGGGAAGGGCCAGAGGAGACGCAGGACAAAGAGGTAGGGGTGGGGCTCGGGCGGGTGCTTGAGCGAGCGGGCATGGCGCAGGGCGTTACGCAGACCGAGCCCGGTCTGGGTCGGCAGGAAGCGACGGCGGAACTTGATCAGGAGCCACCGGTATTTCAGCGGCAGGTAGCGGAAGTTCCAGAAGTAGATGCATATCTCCTTCAGCCGTTGCCAGAGCATCGCTCGTGGCGGAGAGAGGGAGTTGGGCTAGTCGAACGGTCGAGCGGTCGAACCGTAACCCTCCTGTTGTCGAAGACCCGGGTAGTCTCTATCGGCGGTGGAGTTTTGGAGGATACTCTCCGGTCTCCGGTCTCTAGTTTCCGGTCTTCACTCTTCGCTCTTCCTTCTTCATAAAAATCGTGTTAGCACGCCACACATATCGATGCCCGAAAACAACATAATAAAAGAAATAAAACATCGAATAAAATAAAAATAAATATAAAAATAAAATAAGAATTCACCAACAATTATCACTGCAGGCGCATGTTATTTTTGAGCCAAAAGCAGGCCCGGTCTGCGGTCGCCGGGACCCGAAAGTAGAAAAAGTAGAAAGAAATAAAAAGCGTGTAATTCGTGTGGCCGGGTCTGGCGGTGAAGTCGGGGCAGTGATGCCAGATTTGTTGTCGAAACTGAGAAAAGAAAACCGATGAAAGACGAAGGCGGCAACGCGAAATGGAGCCTCTCGAGGACCCTTGACGAAGCAATCCTAGCCCGCCATGTGACTGGTCAACGGGGCGGTCCGCCAATGCGTTGTGGCCCCTGTGACGTCACTGTCGGGAAACGGAGCAGTCGACTTCGTACCGTCAGCGCTAAACGGTGCTGCAGACGCCCTTGTTACGGTACCCGATGTGCCGATGTTGCCGATTCAGGGACACGCAACGACCAAGACCAGCGAAAGGGATAGGTGACATCAAAGTAGGCAACCCAAGCTTCCAACTAGGAGAAGAGCAGCTACTACGCCCGAACTAGAAACCAAGTACAGTCACACAGAGACAACAGCCCCCCCCCCTCCTCTAGTCCGTCAGTGACACAAGAACCCCCCTCTAGTCAGTAAAGCAACGAAACACAAGACACCAGACCGTCGGACTACAACAACACACACGTCGTACAACGGAAAACCTAGTGCTCGCACCACACACACATCACATCACAAACACACAAACCGACTGGCTGAACAACACCCGCGAGTTGAAACTCTTGTCATGTATTGCAGCCGAGATGTCTCCCAGCCCAAGGGCTCAATGCATCCATTCCATCCATCGCCCACACCATCTGTCTATACATAACAGCCGCTGCCGCCACCGCCGTACAAGGCAGGCTCGGGGAATAAATAGCACAGCCCATAGTCCCATACCCCGACATGAAAAGAAAGGAGGAAAACCATAAAGCACGCAAGCTTTTCTCTCTGTTTTTTTTGCTCTCCCCGCCCCCCCCCCCCCCCCCCCAAAAAAAAAAAAAAAACCCCCCAAAAAAATCAAAAAGCCTCTCCCCTCCCGTTTCTTTCCCCACCCCCCCCCCCTACCCTGTTGTTGGTTGTCTCCCTAAAAAGTGAGTGACATGAAAAGAAAATAAAACAATATTAAGTCAGAAAGGGAAAGAGAAAAAAAAATTGTTGCCACCCCGGTGATCTGGGGGGTATATGGTATCAAAGCAATGGAACGCAGCCGCCGGTCCTTTTCCTGTCGCCGCAGGAAGAGATGAATGATGTGTACGCCTGTTGCGTAAATGTATGTGTCTGGGAACTGGGTTTGGTTGGAGGCGGCTGTCGGGGTTGGATGTAATGTAGCGGTGTGGTTACATACGGGTTGGTATTTGGATTTGGATCGTTGGAATCGTTGGCGGGGGGACCAAACGCGGACCAGGCGACTTCCTATGTCCCGACCGAAGAGTGACGGGCAACGGGATCGACCCGGCCATGACGGCAGCTGTATTTGACAGGCCGCTCGTGTGGATAATCGTCGTATCGTCGTGATATTCCCGGCCGTCGTTTCTCCCATCCGCGCCCCTCCTGGTTCAATTCCCAATCCCTCCCCCATGCCGTTTCCGGCACCCACCAACTCTCGCGAGCATCCACCAACATCCACCACCATCACCGAACCCACCAACTCCCAGCCCAACCCATCCCGTCCCGCCCCCATCACGCAAACCACCCCCCAAACAAATATCCTCTCAAATAATATTCGCAATACTAATCCTCTCCTCATTCTTACTCTTCCCACTCCCCGCAGCCGTCGGGCTCCCCGACATGGGCGACCCCCCTTGACCCAGTCTCGAACCCGGCCCCGGCCCCGACCCCGGCGCCACCATCGGCGGCAACGTCGCCATCTCCACCCGCGCGTCGTGCCCGCCCATCTCCATCTTGATCCCCCTCTCCTGCTGCTGTTGCTGGTGGTGGTGTTGATGTTGGTGCGCATGTTGGTGTGGGTGCTGGTGCTGGGGGTGTGGTGCCAAGACGGGCGGGAGAGGTGGCGGCGCGGGGGCGGAGGTGTTCCACGCTTGGTGCTGCTGTTGCGGGTGCGGTGGTTGCTGCTGTTGCGGGTGCGGTGGTTGCTGCTGTTGCGGGTGCGGTGGTTGCTGCTGTTGCGGGTGCGGTGGTTGCTGCTGTTGCGGGTGCGGTGGTTGCTGCTGATGGTGGTGCGGATGTAGATGTTGGTGGTGGTGATGCGGGGATTGGTGCTGATGTTGGTGAGGATGTGGGTGCTGTTGTTGGTGCTGGTGCTGGTGCTGCTGTGGTGGTTTCGTGTTCGGCGCCGCCGACGTCGGCGACGTGCCTGCGATCTCGCCGGTCGCAAACCTTCTCAAGGAGCTCTCCAGCCGCTCCCAGCCCTCCGCGCCCGGCCCCCAGTCCCACCTCTCCTCGCTCGTCAGACTGGATCGCGCCTCCGTGCCGGACAAGCCGGGTTTCCCAGACACCGTTACGGGCGCTGACACTTCGCGATCGCTGCTGCCCGTCCACACCCACGCCGTCTCCATCCCCGCCTGTAAGTCGGCACTGACGTATGCGAGCAGCTCCTCGTCGCGCAAGAGGGCCTCGTTGACCGCTGCGGGGGAAGGGCGCTGGGGTGGCGGCGGCGGGCCGTAGGGCGACGGAGGGTGGCTGGGTGAAGGAGCCTGCGAGAGGTACGCGACGATCTCGGCCCGGCGGGAGGCTAGCGCAGAGACGAAGAAGTCGAGGTACCGGCCGCAGGACACTGCAACATCGCGGTGGTTGTTGATGGCGGCCAGGGCACGGATACATGCGGATGCTTGTTCGAAGTAGCCCGTGAGGAGCAGGAAGAGGGTGCAGCGGAAGGTATGGGTGGTGAGGAGCGCGGTGGCGCCCTCGGCAATCGAGGCGATCGGTGTACGCGCGAGGAGGGCCGCGGTTTCGAGCGCCGTGTTCATACATTGCTCGGTGGCCGCCAAGCGGACGTCGGGTGGACATGACGGAAGGAGATTGTGCCGATGAAGGAGGAGCCGGGCGTGGAGGAGGTAGGTCAAGGGATTCAAAAAGGAGGGCATCAGAGATACAGTGCTCGTGTGCTGGCAGGCCGGCGGGAATGCGCGCCGGCACAAAATAAAATGCTGATCGAAGGTCGCGAGGCGGGTGGGTGCGATGACAGGCGAGGCGAGCGCCCTGTTCAGCGCCGTGTACGAACGCACAACGTTGACCACAGCGAGGAGCGAATGCGTGAGCCCTTCAGCACCATCCGGGAGCCTCTGGCCGCGGTCCGATAGGTGATGATCGTCGATGGCGGCTGGTAGAAGGACATCACAGTCCGAGTCGTCGATAAGCATGGGCCTCCCCATTTCGATTGCTAGGCTCCGGTCGAGGATATAGATCGTCCACCACGTCCTCCTGCGCATCTCGGCTTCGACAAAAGATGCCGTCCCCGGCTCGGTGTAGAGGCCCAAATCCTGGGCCACCCTGACCGCACGTCCCAGCCAGCTGCACGCCGCCGACTTCAGGTTCAGCTCGTTCAAGGCCATGGTGACCAGCACGAGCGCACGTGCGTTGTCCAGCTCATAATCATCGCTCCATGGGTCGATCAGTGTCCGTGTCGTCTCGAGCAGCTGGGTGGCCGAGTATGCGCGGTTCAAGTCGTTCTCTGCCATGAAAAGCCGGCCTACCGTCAAGACAGCGAAGAAGACAGACATGAAGGCCTGGGATGCGCGTAGCGGGTTCCCGGGCCGGTACAGGCCGTCAACCGTCTGCGTCAGCGTATTCCAGTGTAGGATAGGTGTCACGGAGTGCGTCGACGTGTAATAGGACCGCAGCAGCGCCTCGGTGGTTTGTCGTGGTGGCAAGAGCTGTTGGAAATCTCGCAGCTCGGGTGCCGCAGACTGTCGATAGGGGGCGGGCGGCTTCCATATCCCCCGCGAGTAGGTCCTCAGGTTCGACCTCGCCCTAGCAAGGTCCTGGACGCCCGTCGGCCTCTTCTTCCGCTTCGGTTGCTGGTTGATCTCCGGGAGCAGGAGCGGCAGCTGCTCGACGCCGTCTACATCCATATCAAATTGGCGGCCGTCGCGTTCCTGCAGCATGCGGCGGAGGCTGTGGTTCTCGCGCCGGATCCGTTCCATCTGCTTCTCGAGGTCCTGCACTTGCTTGATGGACGACATGCGGCGGTTGGTCTCCTTGGTGAACTGGCACTTGACGCCCCGGCTCGAACATTCGGAACAGCTGGTGGTCTCGGTTGCGTCGCACTTGACCTTCCTCTCACGACACGCGTCGCAGCTGGGATCCTTCCTCCGCTGCCGGTAAGCTCGCTTCTGTGCCTGGGAGGTGCTGCTGTTGGACGGTAGGTTGGCGTGATGCGCCCGAGGCGTCCCAGCTACCGACTCACCCGACGGCAGCGACTCCCGTTCCATCATGGATGAGCTAGACGTGAGGGGCGTGTAGGACTGGAAAGAGTTCGGGGGAAGCTGGTGGACCGAGGGGAGCGGTGGTGGGATACCTATGGCGTGAAGCGGCGCCTGGTTCGGTCTCGCGTTCGGGGTGGCGTTGCTCGCACCTGACCTCATCAGGCCGCCCATGTACTGTTCGGTCGGCTTGGGTGAAGAGGCTGAGGCGGCGAGGGACGAGTTGTAGGGCCGCACCGAGGGGTTGGGAGATCGAGGATACGGGTTGTGCGTCGCAGACGCCATGGTGTCGGCTTGCTTTAAGAGGCCCTGTTGCCAGGAGCCCGATTCGGAACCCGTCTCCGCAGACTCTTCCGATAGGATGGACGCTGGAGGGGTCGCCAGTCAAGAAAACATGCAGACGGGAAATATGTTTTGGGGGGTGGGTGGGGGAAGGGGGATGAAGGAGTTGAAGAGGCAACTTTAAAGGTGAGCCTGGCCTGCCCTGCTCCTCGCTTGTTTTTCTCTGGGCACCCTGGTTCTCTCAGTCCACACCACACACAAGCGTATAGTGTGGAATAAAAGTGCGGAGGGCCCCTTGTCAGGAGACAGAACCTTGAACCACAGAGCTCCACAAACTCCACGCTCATACACACAACCAACCCACAAAAAACAGAAGACGAGCTTTCGAAGCTACCATAAACGGACGCAAGGTCTCTTACTTGGCCGTTGCGGTTGGCGGCACCCCGCAAGTCCCTGCAAAGTTGAGTGTTTTCGGCGATGTGCAGCAGCCAGTGAGGGTGTCGGCGGTGTTGGCGGCAGCAGGAAGCAGCAGGAAGTAGCAGGAGCACTTGCAGCGTCTCAAAAAGTGGTGATGGTGAGTCTTGTTTGGAGCATACTCCAGTCGCGCTGTGTTCGAAAAGTCCCGGGGTAGTATTGTGCGGTGTTGCAACGCCGTGCAACCCCAATGCCGCTCTGATCCGCGACCCGTCTGCCCTCGTCCTTGTCCCGCAGTCTCAGAGGAGCAGCAGCAATATTTGTCGGCAGCTGAGCCGTTTGGTACCGGGACAGCCGCAATACAACCATGTGCTATAAGGCGGCTCTATTAGTAGCACCCGTGGGGAGCCGGCACGGGCCCCTCGAGGAGCATGCGGTTTGTGAGGTGTGTCCTTGGGCTGGGGCGCGTCGGCAAAACCGAGCGCGGCAGGCGTGTCTGCTGTGCGAAGCGGCTTCAAGGAGAGATGTTCAGGCAAGCGCGCTGGAACAGAACGGAGCTGGCTAAGGCGGGACAATAGTTACAGCCTAGTCGGCACACACGGAGCCTGCAGCCACCAGTCGGAAACGATCAAAAAGTTGGCGAGCGGGGGGGTGTGGTGGGAGGCAGAAGGATGGACGAGGCCACAGAGAGCCCGCGGCAACGCGGCGAGACTGGCGAGAGAGGAAAGGTGAGGTGCTGCGCGCTTACACCCGTCTCGTAGTGGCGGGAGAAACACGGGGACATGCAGCAGCAAATGGCGGGCACGGGTTGAGCGACGTGAACAGGAGCAAGCGAGCGCACTTGCCGTCGAGAAGCGTGGTTTGGAGCAGCGAGAAAGAGGGTAACAACCACGCGCCAGCCAGGAGGTCGAACGAGCCCTGCCAGTGCCTGTCACCGGTGGAGACAGTTGTGCCGCTAATCTCACCATCCATGCCCGTTGCGCGCTTCCATGTCCGAGGTGGTGACTGTACTGTGTAATAGAGTTACGAAATAACGTTGAAGATGAGTTACCGGTAATCGGTTTCTTACCGGCCTGGGGACAGCATGGCATGGGTTGAGCAGGGGTGGGTGGACAGGCCGGCAGCAGCAGCAGCGCAGCAGACTGTGTTTTGCATACAGTGCCCGAGAGCCACCAGCGTCCTCCATGCAACTGTGTACACTCGACACAAATCACCCGGCTGTGCCCGGGTCCCGCCCGCCTCAGCGCAGGGCTCGCGTGGGCGAGACGATGACGGTCCGGGCGGGGAATGTATCCCTGTCTCAGACTTGACTAGCTCACGGTGTTGATGCTCGTCTCTCCCAAAGCCTCCTGGCTTGAGACCTCGGCCGCAGAAGAGGGAAATGTGGCTTGAGTGAAAGGCCATTTGCCGCCCAGGTTCGGTCAGGCGCGCTTTCGAGCCGATATTGTGGATTCCGAGCCCTGGCGCAACGACCATGGGCCCCAGACCCCTGTGACAGGGACCCCGGTCGGCCAAGTTGACGATTCGGCTACGATGGCCGCACGTCACCATCATCAACCGTCTCCGAAATGCTGTCGTCCGACAAGGGAGGTCAAAGAGACAACCATGGAATCCAAGTGTAGCAAATCTCGCCTGCCACCCAGCCACTGTCAAGCTACTGCCTTTATTGTCGAGAGCCTTCGAAACCTCTCGTCGTTAATACTCTTTTATTTTCTGATGTACCGCTAGCAGCCGAGGGACACGAGATGGACGGCTTCCGCGGTAATGACTCCCCAACTCCCGTTTGACCGCGGGGCCAGGCACTCTCGCCCGCGACTCGCTCGCTAACTTGGACATCTAATTCGGTCCCGATGTTCCCGATCCTTGGCTGTCGTGTGGGAACTTCCCGATTGTGTGTGCTGACGAGGATTCGTCGCAGCTACGCGGCGGCGAAACGAGATCGCTCCGCGCTCCTCCTTTCCTGTTGGTGGGCGACGACCCAATAAGCGAGTTCGCTGGTCTCAACGACACCGAAGCTACCTGGTTAGTGCTTGAGTCTCCAGCTGCAAGGTTATCGCCGAGCCAATGGCCAGCAGCGAACGCTGTGTTCAGCAGCATCGTTGTGAGTGCCCTGCCAAGCCGGCGAGCCGGAAAGCGCGTGGAGAAAGTGACCAGGCTCGCCCAGCAACCGGAAGACGAGGCGTTTGTTGCTTTCCTGCGTGTCAGGAGATACCGTTACTCTGAACGAGCAAGTTTGCTGAATCTATGCGCTCACAGCAGCAGTCCAGACCACATCCCTTGCTGAAATCTTGCTTAGCCGGGACAGCATGCTGTGGAGGTAGGACTCGTTAGGTTGGTGGGTTCGGCGACATCGTCGACACGGCCAAGGCCGTGCTCTGCTGGTATGCCTATAGTGACATAACTACCTCTCCACTCCAGCGGGACGCCTCTTGCGTCGCGGTGCTGGCCGGAGACCGGGTTGGCAGCCGAAGTCCCTTGAGAAGCTTGAATCACTATTGGTTGAGATGGGTGGCGCCATCATTGCCGTGCTCGTGCCGGTACTGTGTCGTCGCCTCTCATTTGATGGCTTATGACAGGGTCGGTTAAGCTCCGAGGAAGGGATGACAGCTGAAACGGGACAGAAAGCAAAAAGCGGGATCGATGCGGGACTGTGGGGTGCCATCAAATGTCCCGTCACCATCCGGAGTCCGGCTCGTCAAAGGAAGACACCCAATTGATGGGATCTTTTGGGTGCAATCTGCACTGGGCGGGTGTGGCTCCGTGGGTGTGGGCAGAGTCGCATCCTTGACCAGCGAAACACCAGAACTCAAAAGTCAAACTCGGCCAACCGTATCCAACCGTCGCTTGTTGTTGTTTGTTGTCAGTCACAAGAGTCGACATTACGACTCTGTGAACTCGGATGGAGCCAATAGTTCTCGACCTCGGTGCATCCTGCAATGGTCCGACGCGGGTAGACTAATTCGCTGGGATGGTTGCAGTCTCTGCGACTGAGAAGTCGAAGGATCCATCCTCATCGGCTTTGCAAAACGAAGCATCAACGGTAATACGAATAATACCAATCAATCACGAGCTGCTCGAGTCAGTTAACGGGTCCCGAATGCCGAGATTTAGCAAGGAGTTGTGCCTTTTTTTTGCGGGGGTCATTTTTTTTGTTCATGGATGAGGGCGTTTCCCTCGGCTACCTTTCGTCCGGATTCAACAGAATCAAAGCCGAAGAGCGTGTGTTAAAAAAAAAAAAAAAAAAAAAAAAAAAAAAAAAAAAAAAAAAAATACACACAAAACCGTTGTTGGAGTTTTTGTTCGAATTCACGAATTGGTGCGCAGGGTGGAGACGAAGGACAGAACGTTTCCATCATGCAGCAGCTTGGCAAAGAAAATGGTTGGACCCTTGATCCATGCCAACCATGCGCCGGGGCCAGGCGCAGGACCAACCGGCACCCGACGGTCGACGCCATGGAAGCGGCCCAGTGGGGAGGTCGAATGTTCGTTCTCGGCAAGAGGTGTCAGGTTGTCACTGACCACTCTGTCGACCGTTTCAAGGTGATGATGCACGAACAATGACAGCATCATTAATTAATTTCGGGACCATCACCCGGGAGATCCCACATAACAATCGCTCTATCTTTGAATATTATTATTGTATATTTTGGTCGGGAAAGAAGTTATTCTACTAATTATAGAGCACACCACGAAATCTCGTGTACTGATTCCCTGGTTAGGTTCCGACTTCCTGGCTCAAGGTTCAACCCGGACAGTACATTGTAACCAGACATTTCAATGTGGTTGAATAACTGATTAACTTGCACTGTGCTCGGTAAGTCATCCGCTAAACTTCTTGGATAGCTCGTTCCATCCATGCTGGTCCATGCAAGTCGCAAGCTGAGCTCAACAGCGCCGGGGCGGCCCAGGCGCTTCAGGCCAAATTGATGTCTGCAGCAACGAGCGACGAAACGGCCAAAGAAGGGAGAAACGTCAGGCACAACTGTGAAGTTTTGCTCATCAAAGGAATTTTCAGAAGGTGTCATGCAAGAAACACCCATTTCAGCCTAGGCTGCCCCACCAAGCCAAATCCCCTGTACCGGGAAGGTGCAGCTTGCAGTGGGCGACACTCCCTGGTATAACTAACAAGACCTGCTTGTAAGGAAGATACTCTTCAAGCCTGGAAGATGCCGATGGGAAACTCTGCCGTTGCGACCCGATGAACCTGGAGATTTCTGAAAAGACACTGGCTGTCTGACCGTTGCAAGGGCCTGGGCCTTCTTGGCGCAGAGGAAAGAACCTCACATCTTTCGTTGGGTAGATCCACGCCACGAAAAAAGAACCACCTAACCCCAAGTGCAAACCGACGGCAACAAGACACCGATACCCGAATCATTCAAGGATGGCTGACTGTTGGGGTATTCACATACCGCACATACCGAGGTAAGTTGTGTCTCCCCCGCCGACGTATCCATGTACGTATGTACGTACCTTACCTTACATACACTACTTGTATCATGCCGACACCCCATCAACGATGCGGCTCCGATGCAGGACGCCGTCGCACGGAAATGACCTTGACCGAGCAGTGTCGGCGGTTATGCCTAATCCCTCTGCTGTGCAATCCACCAAGTGTTTCACGGCTTGGGCAGAAAGGCCATGATCTGCGGTCCACGCCGTTGGGGCCGAACCAACTCGCCGGCTTCAAATCACAGATGAGGCAGGGAACCGCGCTCCCCCACCATCTCCAGGGCAAATCCTGCCGAGGAAGAAGCCATGTCATGTGGTGGTTACACAGATGCTCTGAACTTTCCGAGAAGGGCACGCCAGGCGGATGATTCGAAACGACCTCCTCCGAGGCAGCTAAGATCCTCCCATGATCGGGCGAATGTTGCCCGGCGCAGATCGGCACCTTCAAACGACGGGCGTGAGACACGGCTCCAGAGATGTACAGAAGCAAGCAATCGGAGGAAGGAACCGCTGCAGCATCCCGAACCGAACCTGCCTCTAGGGCACTAGCCAAGAAAGGGGACCGAGCCGGGATGAACACGGAATAGGACGTAGGGTCTGACAGTCGGCAGAAGCCGTAACTAACCACAGCGAGTTTGGACCTCGAACCCAGGAAGACAAAGACAAACGGTTGTGCTGTACCGATTCACGAAGAGCCCGGCAGCCCTTAGGTTGTAACCGCTACAACAGCCCTACGAGTTCAACTTATGCGCGGTCCTTTGCTTTCTCCGATAACACATTGGGACTTCTCCCTTCTCGTGCAACACCCCGTGAGACACCCTCAACGGGCGTACCCAGAGGGCAGCGGCACGCAACTGGAGCGGCAATCAGCGCTTGTTGTGAAACGGCGCCGGCGGTTGGGAAAAGCGAGGCGGGCCGGGATTGGCGTTGAACGTCCGAAGTTACGGAACCGCGGCTCAGCGATTCGTCATAACAGAAACCACCCAGTTCTCCCCGCTCCCAGTGTCCTCTGCCGTTATCGCATCTCTGTACAGTACCCACCATGCATTGGCGGCAGGCAGAGCCTGCTGGCGACCGAGCCGTCGATATTATGCAGTGCAACCCCCGAGACGGTCGATGGAGCGGCAGACGGAGAAGCATGCCGAGCGATGGATCCCGAGATTATTTTCTGTTCACAACGGGCACTGTGCTTATCCTGTGGGTCTCGGATGCCCCCGATCAGGAGCGGGTCCCCGGCCCACGGGGAAGCGAGACACGGCTCCATGGCGGACTTGATCCCGTACAGTGCGTCGAAAGCCAAGTACGAATAATACCGCGTGTCTTTCTGCACTTCCTAGCCTGTCATTCTATTTCAGGGCGCGAAAAAAGAACCGAAAAGAGGAGAGAAAACAACAGTCGCCGAGGAAGGTCCTGGTTCACAGCTGACTCTCGTTGGAGTGGAGGCCGCAGCTTCAACATCGATGTTGGGCATCACCGTGCACCGCAAGATTTCTCACTAGGCGCCCATCGTGGCTGTAACTTGGGCGTCACATGCCTTTAACGTCAGTAAGACCGAGAAAAACGGACGTGAAAAAGGAAAGCCGGCGGCTTATTTCCTTAAAAGTTACTTCGTCCCTCCCTACCCAACAAGGAGAGGATGCCGTGAGGCCGTATTCGGCTCCTGGCAACGACTTTGATGGTTTGGTGGATGGAGCTCGCCGCTTGTTCGCCAAAACCCAAAACGGAGACGAAGGAATCTCCTGCCGGGACTCCACCCGTTACCAGAGTCAGTACCCTGTCGGGTGACTTCCGAAACTCTTGGTGCCGATCACAACGCTGTTCTTCTGGTTGGCCGCCGCCGTGGGAAAAAGAAGCAAATACAAGGCTGGTTCGAAGCTGGGTGGCTGGCCGGAGATCGCAGCCTGTTCCACGTGTGTTCGGAGAACGCCTTGTCGGTCGGCACTTTGCTCGTTCCCCTCGCCCGTTCGAGACAATGGATGTCGCAGACAAGCCGGCAGCCACGGAGCTAGCTAACCTAATGACTCGCCTCTGCAACAGGACATGGTCGAATTCCCAAGGACGCGGAGACGACAACCCAGCCGAGCCCAGTACCATGTTTTTCCGCTCGCCTTGATGCGCGCCCTCGCCAGTGGCTTGAGTGGGCAACAGCACAAGACCAAGCGAACAAAGAGGCGACGCCCCGGCCAATGATCGAGATGCAGGACCCGCGATCAGCAAGATCCGTGGATCCAAGATGGCCCCCGGCAACCCTGCCGTGTTCGCCGCCCAGGTGCAGATAAGCGCTAGCCCCCCTTCGGGAATCCCTTCGCCGCCGTCCTTCCGAACGAGAGCTAACCCATTGAAAAAACGCCTGATGTTAGCAGCAAAAGGGGGATGCCGCCCCTGGTTGACTGGCTAACTTTTCTCCGCGTCCACACCCATCCCCAGTCAGCTCTCCTGCGGCCGCTCCACGTCCCACATAGCGTCGTTCGACACTCGCCGCTCGGCCCGGCACCTACCGCCAGTAAGAGCAAGGGGTTGGTGACGATACGGAATTCTGTGCAGGTGTTCTGTATGGTATCTGTATTACCGTATTATACGGTATGGAAACCCCGGAGACGACTCCGGCCCTGCAGCCGGTTCCGTTTCCCCAGATTAGTGCCTGGGCGCGCTGTGGGATCTGTGCCGGGGGGTTTCTCGAAGCCCAAGCAGGGGCCAACAGCCGCCCGAGAAGAAAAACGAGGGTCATCCCGCCGACACGCGTGAAAGAGCGACCCTGCAATTTCGCTCATGGAAGGTTTTTCTTTTTCATCATGGGAACAATCTTCATTGGAGGGGTTCCCCAGGGATCATTGCTGCGTGCCCGCGGCGCTGCTCATTGTTCTGTGCAGCCTTCGAGACGGCGAAATACTACCCCGTACCTCGTAATATCACGTCCTCGCCGCCTCCTGGCAGCGACGTGCTGTTGCTGTGCCGCTTCAGCACCAGCTTGCTTCTGCTTCTGCCATGTGTCTTGCCACGGCAAGTCCGAAAGAGAGGCGGAGGGGGGAAAAAGCAAAAACAATGGGTTACACTAACAAGCGGCAGCTGAACCACCCAAATCCCGAGTGGAACCAACAGCCTCGATCCCACTCGAAGAAAAGAGAGACAAGACAATTCGAGGCGGGGAGTGAGACATCGCCCGCCTCTCCCGACCCGAAGCGCTGTTCTCCTCGGGCCGGCGCCCTTCCCCTCCTCCCCTCTCTGTTCTCGCCCCCCTTCCCCTCCCCAAAAAACAAAAACAAACAAGAGACAGCATAACTAGCATGTCTGAGACGCTGAGACATGGTCGTGTCGCCACGGCCCACGAGCTGGGGGGGTCCTGCAGTGCCTGTGTGTGTGTACGTACGATTGCATGTGCGGTCCTTGGTGGTTGCACAACTTGGACAGCTGTTGGCTGGCCATCTGGTCGTGTGTGGCCACCTGTATCGGACAGCTGACACTTTTCCTCGTCCTCCATCGCCCTCCCCCTCCTCCAGAGCGTGCTGGGCTGGACTGGACTGTGCAAGCTGGACATTAGGGTCCGTTGTACGGAGGTACAGATGGGATGCAACGCTACATCACTGTTGAGCGTCGTGCTAGGTGGTGGGACGACGGGATAATTCTCCGTGTGGTTCTGTGGACTTGTGCTGTGTTGCTGTGTGTTTGTGTTGTGGTGGGGGGGTGGTAAAAGGCCCGCGCATGGCTTGTGCCTGGTGGGACGGCGAGGGGTGGGCATGTTTGCTATGGGGTAGGGCGAGGCTAACGCGCCTATGTAATAGGTGAAGATCGAGTGAAGTGATTTGTGGTTTTTGGTGAGGTGTTGAGGTGGTTGGGGCCGGATATCATCCAAACAGAAAGGGGGTTCAGGGGGGAGGAACAACAACAGAGTGTGGACAGGCTACCAAGTCAGGCTGGCAACGCAAAATTAACACGAGCAACGACGTGTTTATGGAGCGGCTATCTCATTCGCAGGTTTGTTTTCTGGCAGCCGGAGTCGTCTAGTTCCCTTGAACCTCGAGGCAGAGGTGCAAACTCGATGCCGGGCTTTGAACCGCGCTTTCCTCCCACCCGCATCGTGGGCCCTACCAAAAGAAGAAGAGGGCTAATGAACATACCATAGGGTAACGATTTGCGAATTGAATGGAGGTTGTCTCAGTTTTGTCATTAACCATCTTTTTCTCGGGGAATCGGCGCTAACTAGGGCTACTTCACCTGCTGCTGGCGGTAGAGAAGCCGTCAAAGACCTCGAGGAGAGTGTCCAACCGAGCTACTCCCTAATCTCAAAGGTCTACAGACACCATGTCCCTTTTGAAGCGAGCTGGCAGGGAGAGCGAAGGGAGGGGCATTCTCGGCGGCAAGGAGCTGCTGGTATGTTCATTGTTCTTTGCCGTGACCCTCCCCCACGGTATCGACGAGACTGTTGCCTCCGATATTCAGGGCTCGGCAGTATAAGCGTTCGTTTGTGTCAACCTGCCGGCCCAGCATTGCTGGCGGCGGTTTGTACATGGGCTACAAACCCCTCTGCCTTTCTCCTCGAAGCTGATGCCCGTTTTCAGCACACCACCGTCCCGATCCTACACGCCGTCTCCGCCGTAGCCGATGGCCAGCTCCGGAGCGGTATACATCTACTCCACAACAACCGAGCTCTGACGCCGGCACTTGTGGCTTACAACGCGTGGAGGGGGAGGCTGCGGTCATCAACTCGGACAGGTCAGACGACAAGAGTGAATGCCGGCGGCGTGGCTCGAGGGATGTGGTTCTTGCTGCATAGCCTAGATGCTACAAGCTGCATAGTCTGGTACTACAATTCCCAAGCGCTCCAATGAGGCAAAAGAGTGGGCTAATAATAGGACGTCTATTCCCTACACCGCCGAACATCGATTTTAGCCCGTTACCGGTATCACAAGTCGACGCCGGCATGGTGCCACGGAGGTCCATCGCTGCTTCAGACAAGCATTCCCGGTGTCGGCCTTGCCTGGAAACGCCAAGTATAGCCGAATCTTGACATAGAAGGACGTTCCGTCGGCAGTTTGTGCATGGTCCGATTCATGAACGAAAATAGCGTCTCGGAGACTCAAGATGGCACCGATCCTGGGACAAACAATAACAACTAAGGCGATGGCTCAATATTGGTTCGATCTTGGAGGCCAAACAAACCACAGCCGGACGTACGGGAAGAAACTTAATGTAAGCTAGGCTTTGGGCAGCTGGGTATCGATATGGGCATACCCTTCTGCCAAGTCACATCGAATATCTCTAGCTGCGGCTTGGCAGCGATGGCAATCACGAAGCTCTTTTTGGATCTGTGGATCTGGAGAACTGGCTCAATCTGACGCGGGCGATCAGCAGAGATCCGTTCGGCACATGGGATGGAACCATACAAGCAGTGTCACGAAGGTCTAGAAGGCCGTTACACGAGACCTAGGTATTGGATGTCAGATGCGGACCCGGAGAAGGCGGTCGCTCGCACATGTCTTGGCTGGGCTGTCGTTGGTATTAGAGTATAACAGCCGCATTCCAACAAGCAGAAGGCTATATTAAACTACTGCCGGAGCAACATCCGAGCATACAAGGCGGTGACGGCGATCGGGGATTTTCCACCAACAGGAGTCCAGCCGTAGACTCCCTTGCAGGGCGGGCAGAGAGCCTCCACGAGCTTAACATAGCAGCGGTGATATGGAGATCCCCTCGGATGCCGGCGGCCACAAATATGGCCGAGGCCAGAGAGCACCCGGTGGCCCGGTCCAGATTGACGATTCAATAAGTAGCTCCCATCTGCAGGACTCCGGGCGGGAGGCTGCTCTTATACGCTGCACGAGATATACTCGGTCTCACGTATATGCAAGGGTGTGAGGGGATGGGGTGTACGGCAGGTGGGCAGGTGGGCAGGGTGCGGCACTGTATGTATGTATATGTGTGTATGTATGTGCGTACTTACTTTTTGTTGGCGATCTCCACGGGGCCGATCGGCTCACATCCGAAGCCCGGCTCAGCTGTTTATCGGCGAGTAACCCGATTTGGCCCACTTGGCAACGCCTGTCAGCGTTCTGCGACGGTTGTCGGGATGTCTCTCGGGATGTGTTCCGGAGTGATGACCGAGTGCCCCAATACCCCTAACCCCTGAATCCTCTGGGCAATAGGCCCAGCTGAGAAGAGATAGTAGGGAGTTAGGTTGGTTTGGATTTCCACAATTTCCACAATCCACACAGTACCCAGTGGGAATCCAACAACCAACCCCCGATCCAAGCCCGGCCTTTTTGAGTTTTGTGTAAGCCAAAATCCACCCTCCTCCCCGTCGTCGGCATACATCCCGGCTCACCCCGGATCGGGGCGGGTGGCCTCGGGTGAGCCCCCGAAGAGATCCACAGCGGGACCAACCCACCAGAGGGGGAGAGGGGGAGAGGGGCAGAGGGGCAGAAAGAAGCAACCTCACAACCAACCACCCAACAACTGCACACTGCGGGGCGGGGGTTTTTGGCAAGCCACTGCCGTAATAAACGCAACCCCGATTTTCCCCAACTTTGACTTTGTCGATCTTCCCATCAACAGCAAAGCCCGCCATGCAATCCCGCGCCGGCAAAAACGAAAACGCTGCAGCGGATTGGTCCGCCTGGGCCTCTGTGCCGTGGTCCCCCGTGTACCGTCCGGGCACTGGAACGGAGACCGGAGTCAACACCGGAACCAACTCCGGCGCCACGACCGGGTCGTCCCCGATCGGCTGGCTCAAATCCGGAATCCCCTACCTGCCCGCAGACAACAACAACAACTACAACAACAACAACAACAACAACACCACCACCACCCTCCAAACCCTCGACGTCTGGATCCCCGCCAACAACACCACAACCCCTCCCCCCGCCTCCTCCCCACCCCCGCACAACTCCCCCAACAACCACTACCTCATCTACATCCACGGCGGCGCCTGGCGCGACCCAACCATCACCTCTGCCTCCTTCACCCCAACCGCCACCAACCTCCTCCTGCGCGCCCAAGCCTCATCCCCAACCCCAACCCCGACCTCAGCAGAGACGGGGTCCCGTCGTGATGATGATGGGGGTTGTGGTTTCGCGGGCCTCATCTCGCTGAACTACCGCCTCTCGCCGCACCCGGCACACCCACCGGCGAGTGCGGAGGATGCTGTGGCGAGGGGGGTGAGACATCCGGGGCATGTGGCGGATGTGAGGGCGGGGTTGGCGTTTTTGGGGCGGTTGGGCATTTTGAGTGGTGATTGTATTGAGGGTGGTGAGGGTGAGGGTGGTGAGGTTGAGGGTGAGAAGGGGGGTGCTGGCGGGGAGGAGGGGGGGGGAAAGGGGGAAGGGAAACAGCAAGTGGGTGCTTGCCGGCCACTCGTGCGGCGCGACGCTCGCGTTCCAGGCCGTCATGGACCCGGCGCGGTGGGGGCTAGGCGGTGACGACAACAGTGGTTGGGACAAGCCGGCTGCGCTGGTGGGCTTTAACGGGCTGTATGACCTCGCTGGGTTTATTGCCGCGCCGCCTGAGGGGTATGCGCACCTGAGAGACGGGTACAGAGAGTTTGTTGAGGGCGCGTTTGGTGCTAATGAGGGGACATGGAGGGATGTTTGTCCCGCGACTGCGGAGGGGAAATGGCTTGGGGAGTGGATTGGGGACGAGGCAACGGCCAAGAAGACAGTTGTGCTGGTGCAGAGTCGTGAGGACACGCTCGTGCCGTGGGAGCAGCTGGAGGCTATGCGGGCGCGGTTGGAGAGGGAGGGACGGGTGGATGTGAAGGTGATGGAGGCGACGGGTAATCACGACGATGTTTGGCGGGAGGGGGGGAGGCTAGCCGAGGTTCTTTGGGACGTCCTCGGGGAGTTGTGATGAAGGGTTCGTTCGACGGGTTCAACGTGGTATCATGGGCTCGGTATCCGTTATAGAAATGCGCATGAATTAGAAAGAAATTAAAGTAAGTAACTGAGCGTTGTCTCCAGGTCAGCCGTAAGGCCGTTACTATAAATACGACAGCCTCCGAGAGGTGAGTTAGTTATGGACTGTTTTCTGACACTTGACATAAGAAAACGGTCGAGTTTCCCCTCTTACTTTCGCTTAACCACTTGAGTCAATAATCCATCAACATCTCCACGTTGTCAGAACCGGCATACTTCGCGGCCAAAAGACAACCCCAACGCCGTGCCTGACTTTCCCAATATAGATTCGTCTCCGGTTACTATTGGCCGGACCAGCGCTAGTGCCGACTGGCCGCCCCATCACCGTTCAGCTTCCTTCGCCAGAGACGACCACTACGCCGTCGCCAAGCCTCTGCTTGTAACATGCACAACACCTTTCCGGGTCAGCATTCCACCCGTCGGCTTCCGCATCTTCAACACCGCGTCAGAATCCAAGACGGAGTGAAGAAGACAGATATGATGGCATCGATGAGAGAAAATGTATAAAATGAGACAGTCCCCCATCTTAACCATCACCATCACCATCCTCAACCAACACTCCCTCCTTTCCCATTAAACAACCAGCCAATAACTTTTCCTTCTATAACACAACCCAACCAAATCAAACCACTTTTAAAAAAAAACAAAGACAAAAAAAAAAACCAAAATGCAGCCCACCGTCCTCCTCCTCGCCCTCGCCGCGGCCGCAGCTGCCCTCCCCCTGGGTACCGCGCCCCGCGACAACCAGATGCCCGCCCCTCCGGCGGTGGACAACGGGCCCCAGGACGACCACGTCGCCCGGCGGGACAACCACATGCCCGCGCCCCCTTTCGACGCCGACGCCGACACCAGCGTCGTGGACATCCCGCAGGACGACAACGAGGACATCGAGAAGCGGGATAACCACGCCCCCGCTCCCCCCTACGACGACCCGCAGGCCGTAGAGGTGCAGGAGGATGATGGTGATGACGACGGTCTCGAGAAGAGGGAGAACCACGCCCCCGTTCCCCCCTACGACGACCCGCAAGTCGTCGAGGACGATAACGACGATGACAACACCGACATCGAAAAGCGGGACAGCCACATGCCCTCCCCTCCCTACGACGACCCGCAAGTCGTCGAGGACAACGACATCGAGGCCCGCGACAACAACATGCCCCTCCCCCCCTACGACGACCCCCAAGTCGCCGACGACGACGACAGCACCACCGCCGACATCGAAGCGCGCGAGAACCCGATGCCCTCGCCTCCGGTCGACAACCCCGACGTTGCAGAGGACGACAACAACGACGATGACAGCGACGTCATCGAGCGACGTGACAGCGTCGAGGCCTTTGACGACGTCGATGTCCCGGAGGAGGAGGGCGATGATGATGATGAGGGCGAGATTGTCGCGCGGGATTATGATGTCTCGGCGTCGCCGGTTGCGGATGAGGGTGAGGTGTACTGAGTTTGGTGTTGGAGTGAGAGAGTGGCTTGGCAGGGAGGTTGGATTTAGGGGTTGGAGGCGGGGGGGAGGGTTGCTAGGGAGGAACGGGGGCTTGTATGTATATTTTTGTTAGGTACTCGAATATAAGGGATGGGGTGCGAAAGGTTAGGTGCGTTGGGTGCCTACTTGCGTTTGCGTGCCGACTTGTAAGAAGCCAGCCAGGAAGAACCAGGACATAAACAACACACTTGACTCTTCCTGTCTGGAAGTAGCTCAGTCCACACCGCACCCGATAGCACAAGCCACACCTGCTTTATCAGAACAATACTCGTAATATATACTACCCATCGGCGTACTCGTCTATCCGAGCAAGCGACCGCCTAAGTTATACTCCAATAACGCTACTTCCACTCCCCACTCCTTTCAAGGTATCTAACATTCGTTCACTCTAGATCATCCTGCAGTCCCGTCAAACCCCCAGCCAACCCATGCATTCTCCTCCCAAGCAAATCCTCCGTGCTCGCCAGTTTAACCAGGCTCCTATCCTCGTCCGCTTTTGTCCTCGCGCGTCTCGCAGGCTTCTTTTTGCCCGGCCCGAGCCGGGGATCTTCATACGGGCTCGCGTCGGCGTTTCTATCCTCGCTGCCAGCAGGGGACTGGCGGTGGCCATTCAGTAGCCCATTCGACTCCCGGGCGCCACCATTTGCCACACCAGCCTTCTTTTCTCCCTCCCCCTTTACTTCCCCATTTCCACTTCCAGTAGCCGCCGCCGCCGCCTCTTTGATGCTCTTCGCCCTCAGCCTCGTCGTGCTCATCATCTCCAACGGCTGGTCCTCATCTCCGCTCGACTCGCGCCGGGAATGATGCCTCCCATCACCCCCCTTCCTCTCACCCTCCGCACTCCCATTCACGCCCTCGCCCTCAAACGGCCTCTTCATCTGCCGCCCGCGCACCTCCCACATGGATCTTCCCTCCTTCCTCTCCGCATCAGCAAACAACTCCTCCGCCCACCCCCCCGACTGGTTTATCAGCTTCCACGCGGGGGGGTACACGCTCGGGAACTGAAGGAACCCGTGGCTGATGCCCGGAATCAGCGCGACCTCAGCGACGGCCTTCTCGTCGAACCCTTCCGTCAAGGCATCGCTGTCCTGGTACTCCAGACGCTGCCCGCCGCTGGCGAGCATCGCGGCCTTGACTCTGCGCAGGCGGCCCGCAAAGATGATGGTGTCGTCCACCAGCGGGTCACGCTCGCCGGTGAGGAAGTAGGTCTTGGGGAAGCGAGAAAGGAGGACATCTGGGGCGAGGATAGGCGACAACAGGTAGTCTTGGGAAAAGTCGGGCCGGTTGTGCGGGCCGACGTAAAGGATGATCATGGCGCGCATCATCTCGGGAGTGAGCACGCGGTCGTTGAAGTATGAGATCATAGAGGATGTGGCGAGGCGGGTGCGCATGGGCTCCGGGCGGTGAGAAGCGCCCGGTTGGGCTGCTGTGGTATCGGATGCGGGTTTGGGGCTTGCACCGGTGGTGGGTGGGCTGGTGGTGATTGCGGCGGGGGAAAGGGGGGGCCGGCGGGCCCTGGTGCACATTGCTCCAGGTGGTTGGTCCCAGGTTGGCGTACTCGGGCGCTGGGTCGCGAACATGTGCAGTCGGCGTGCTCGCAGTGCTTTGCTGATCCTCGCTCTCGGCGCCGGAGCGGGATTTGGAGCGGGATTTGGACGACGGCGTGGTGTCGTCTTCATCATCAGACGCGTGGGGGGTACCGACCAGGTCGTTGTACTGCGATCTTTTGCGCTGGACGATGCGCTTGTTGGTCCCGCGCATGCGGCGATCCTTGATCAGTGCCATCTGCTCGTCTGACATCCAACTACCGATGTTCATGTCGAGCGCTGGGTAGAACAGGATCAGTCCGTCTGGTACAGGGAGGTCCGTCTGTCCCTGGAAGCGACGGACGGGCGACGAGCCGCTCTCAATGATCATCAGCGTCGTTGAGGTGGCCAACGTCCCGCCCGCGCTATCGCCCGTGATAACAATCTTGGGGATCTTCTTCCCGGACAGGCCAATACACTGACCACGGGTCTTAATGATGGTAGTGTAGACATCGTAACACTCGTTAAGCGCATACGGGTACGGATAATCGGGCGCCTTCTTGTAGTTCAAACTCAGTACTGGCAATCCCGTCTTCCCAGCCCACGCAAATAGTTTGTCGTCATTGCACCTGGGATCCATAGCCACGAAGCCGCCCCCAGGAATATCCAAGATGATGCAGTCGTGTTGCTGCATCTTGGACAAGGGCCCGTCAAAGTAAAGCCATGCCGAGACGGGTTCCGTGTAGTCGCTCGCGGCGGGACGCGGGATACGAAGCTCGCGTGGCGGCCACTTGGTGAAACGCGGGCTGACGAGCTTTTGTAGGAAACGTAGGTAAGGCGACTGGCTGCCCTTGTTCCAGCTGACGCGCATATGCTCGACCGTGATATTGCCGCGTACCTTGCGCACCTTCTCATCGGCCTGCTCTGCGGCAATCAGGTAGAACACGGAGAAGGCGATGCTCGCGAGGTCGCGCAGGGTCTTGTTGCTAATCTTCATAGCAGTCCAGAAGCCAGCATCGAGGGCTGTGAGGACCCAGGTGGCGCGGAAGTAGGTGGCGTCGTACATATTGCTCAGGGGGTCCGGACTCGCGAGGCCGACGAGGGTGCTGAAGTTACGGGCGCCGTAGAGATAAATCATGGTGATGACAACCGTCTGCCATGCCGTGAGGTATCTGGATAGTAACTTCGACAAGTTTCGCAATATGGGAGGTCCATGTTTGTTGCCCCTGTTTGTTGTAAGTGTTAGCTAGGCCATAATGGGGGAGGAAACGGGAATCCAACCACACACCTAGCCAGGTACGCAGACCAAAAAGCCACCACGGCGAGGACCTGCAGTCGACGCGACTTGACAGATGGCCGTCCCAATAAGTGGTCGATCATCTTGACACCGGGCCTTGACGGCTAGTGCAGAACCGCTTCACGGCGTGGAGATGCCGGATGCCGTCCAGTTGACCGTGTTGCCCTTTGTTAATAATATACTGTGCCTGTAAGATGGGATGTAAGATGGATGTCGGACGATGTTGTGTTTCTTGGCAGGCAGGCAGGCAGGCTATGCCGTGCCGCTAGAAGGAACAAGCAAGCCAGTCGATAATCGCCGTTGGAAAAGGAGGATTGCTGATGCTGACCGAGGTAGGAAAACGGCCAACTCGAGATAATTAGCACTGACAAAGAAACTCGGAAACTAAGGAACCCGAGTCCGGCAACGAGATGATTTGAGGTTAATCCGGCGAACCCGGCGAGTTGGCCACATGGCACAATGTCTCGTCTGTTTGTGTGTTTCGGGCTGAACACCCGAGAATACTCTGTGGCAGGCACGAATCATGGCGTCACGGGGGCACCACTGCGAACATCTTGTTCTGACATGTGAAGACAGGACTTCCAGTCCCACAACCACCCAGACAGGGCCAGTGGAAGGAACAGCGGCCGTCAGAAGCGTGGGGTTGTGGAGACCCCGCTGTGGGGTGCCTCATTGAAGTTGAACCCGCACCTTGAAAATTCCCGAGTCTTCTATGGACGTATGCATGGATGTATCGCGCCGCAGGAGGCAAGGAATGGAAATTCCCCGGCCTTCGACAGCATGGACAAACTTAGATTCCTAGGTAACAATATCAATTGGATTTATTGATAGCTCTTGATTGCGAAGTTGTTGCACATGTTCCGCGCTCTGTGTCGGATAGCGCCGGTCGGAGAAATGGTGGCTGCCGCATGCGGGATGACCCTGTGGCTGCCGAATCCTGGGCCTCTATTCTTGTCAGAGGACCCCCAATTCAATGCGGAAGGCGAGCTTGTGATTCAAGGGTGCGAAGCATGTGTTAGGCTTGGGGCTGGGCTGCGATTTGTTGGGTTGCGACACGCGCTGTCGGTCAAATCCACATCGTTGCACACGCGAGCAAAGTGAGAAGCGAGTCGACCCGAAAGAATAACTTCCAAACCCAACCGACAAATGATACATCTACAACGTAGGCTAACTACCGTCCAGCACATTCGAGCCAAAAAAGACTTCCAAGGAGAGCTGGTATTCGTGTTGTGATCCCTTAAAAAAAATGTGCGACATGCTCAAAACCTCTTCCCCATGGCTCGACCAGCGCCGGGCACACAGTGAAAAGAATATCCATTTCTGGAGTGAGGACAGCAAAAATTACGACCGGAACGGCCCCGAAGGACAATTCATGACGGCTAGCACCACGATGTGCAATGCAGGCTCTCCGCCATACGGCGCGGTTTTCATGATCTCCGCGCAGTCAATCAAGGTAAGTATGAAGAAGAAAAAGGAAAAGAAGAGATCAAGAACTGGGGAGGGTCGAAGAGAATTTATAGCTGACTTACTTGGTCTGTGCACGTCTGCAATTGCAGAAATGGCAGAGGGCCGCCAAGTGGCCCGAGCGGTGGGTCAAGAACTGAGGGTTAGGGCCATCTGACAGCTGAGACAGTTCGCTTTTGGCTGCGCTGAGGCTTCCCTTCGTGACCATTCTCATCTCACATGATGGCGTGATTGAGCCGCAACCAATTGAGGACGACGTCGGATATCAACAACAATCTTGATTTCAGTCCACATAGCCTTTAACATCTCACTTGAGCGCCACCATAGATCAATTGATGCAATCGCGAATGACAAGGATGCGCGTGTCCGCTCATGTTCATAATCATCAGTCATGGCCCCAATCAAGGGCATCCGTCATTCATAGGCCTGGGTTAGGTTTCTAGGTAAGGTACATGGTCCTAACAGCCCAAGCAGACACTTCCCTTCGAGGAAGCAGTCAACTCCAACTCAAAGCCGCAACCCAGCTTTGCCAGGAAGTCGAGTCGCTGTTGATCTCTACATCGGCCGCCGCCAGCCAAATCAAAAAACCCCAACCCCAATCCCCCATCAAACCCTTCAACCACCCACTCAGATATCCTCGCAGTAATCCACGGTGGTGGTCACCGTAACTGTGGGCGCGGGCGCCGTGGTGACGGAGCCGGTCAGGCCGAAGCACGAGCAGGCCGAGATGTACTCGGCGGCGTCGACGCAGTTCTCGGCGTAGTCGGGGATGGCCGTGGGCACGACCGTCACCTGGCGCGCGTCGAGCCCGCCCGCGGCCCGCTTGGCCGGGGTCGGCGTCGGCAGGTCCTCCTCGTCGACTGTTACCGTGACGGTGCTGGGCGTGAGTGGGTGTGTTAGTTTATTTTTTATTTTTATTTTTATTTTTATTTTTTATGTCTTTGGTGTGGGTGGAGAGAACTCACGAGGCGGCCGGGGTGACGGTGGTGAGCAGGAAGCTCGCGCAGTGCGAGGAGCGCTCCGTCAGGGGAAGGAGACCGGGCCGGGTGCCAGTGACGGCGCGGTTGCAGTTGTTGCCGGCGCAGTGGCGGGGCTCAACAACGGCGGCCGCCGCGAGGGCGACGAAGGACAGAGCAGCGACGAACTTCATGGTGGCGGTTGGAATTGGGTATCAAGGAAGACGTCGTTGGGGCCGGTTGTTTACTTTTCACAGGGGCGAGGAGGTGCTGGGAGGTGGACGAGTTGCTGCAGCCCGGCGTCGGTTCCATCTTATACCCCCCCAGCTGCCCGGACGCCTAGGCCTGGCGGTGACATCGAGCAACGCCCGTCCCAGGAACGGCTGGCTGCGCCGATGGCTCCGCGCCAGGGGAAGCGGGCACAGACGCAACCGGGCAGCTCGGATGGCCATCGGCGAGGCCAGGAACGCGCATGTGCATTGTTGGTTGTGAGCCCAGAACAAGCGCAGTGCGACGCTGAGGCTAGGCCGGCCTAGGAGCTAACCCGATTATCCACCGGAGGAATACGCCTCGTGGTGCGGAACGATCCTTTGAATGGTGGCTGCTGGGTATCTCCGCCGCTATTCGGTTTAGGCCGGGGTGTGGGCTTGCAGGAAAGCGACCTGCCTTGAGAGGCAGGAGGAGCTCATTCAAGATAGGTAGGCAGGATATATCGTCAACACATGTTGAAGCGGTCATGACTTCGAGGAGCCACATGGTTGGGAACCTTCCCGGCGATCATTGGTATCCCAAAAGCTCTTTGTGCCTGCCGATCAAGAGCTGAGTGCTGCAGCTTGCCATCGCCCTCCTCTCAATTAATTCCCCTGCGCCCTCGAGCCTCGAAGCGACAGGGGCCCCTGCGGGGTAACTGACGCTTTGGCGGTTCGATGCGACTCTGGGAGCAGAATATTGCTGACGAAGTCCGCGTCGGCCCCGCTAACTAATCGGGTCCAGCCCACGGATGAATGTTGAGAACCCGCTGGGGACGGTGAAGGGAAGGACGAACTCGATCCCCGGCGCCGTCCCCGCCCTCCCGAAAGAACCAGATATCGTGGCTGTGGCTGACTTTGAGGATATTTTACTGCGTAACTCTATACGTACGCGCTGACTTCTCAGCCTCCATTACGGTAAGAAATTCATCTGATGACCGCCGTTTTGAAGCGGCAGGGCAGATCGCATTCGAGGTGAGCCCTTTCTCCTTTCTTGGTGAATACGCCGGTACGGTAGGTAGCGAGCGGAAACCGGCAGCATTTCGCCGTCTTCAACGGGCTGCAACCAGCCTCTCGTTGTCAATTAACCGCAGCCAAGAGACGGAAAGACGCGCCTGGATAAAGTGCTCGTAGGACCTTGCAGGCGATGAGCCACTGTTGGTGACGAGGAACCGCCTAAAATAGACCTTTTCTCCGGAAAACCGGGTTGGCCCTGTGCGATTCCAGTCGAAAGCCTCGGAGATATATATCCTGTGCAGTTTCGAGCGGGGGAGACGAGAAGGCGGATCTCGACACAGGGACTCTTCGCAGGGACTGTCGGTAGAGTGGTCTTCGGGGCAAGGACGGAATGGGCGTCGCGCCGGAGCTGTTATCACCGCCAGATTGAGTTCGTGAACCCCAACATGCATTCGCTTCATAGTGGTCGTGGTGTACCCCTAATTCCTTCCGTTAACGACGAAGTCCATTACCAGGGCGGGCTCTCAAGACAAGACGGGGTGTCAAGACCAAGAAAGAGAGTAAGGAGTAGCCTCACGGACCAAGCATACTCAATTCCACACATATACCTACAATATCTCTCTATATCATCCACCATACAGATTTGAGAACGCAGTGATGAAGAGACGCTTCAGAACACAAAGTGAAGCAACCATGTCCAGTGATCCAATAAAGACCGTCGACCAGGCAACGCGTGTATATCTCGAACCTGGCCAAGATGGGTATCCAATGTTGAGCGAAATACTGAGAAACACGGCCGAGAACATCAAGAAAAGAATAAGAAGAGATAAAAAGTAGAGACATGAAGATTTGAAGGACATCAAACACATCCACAATCGTCATCAGCCATCAAAAATCCCAAGCACCATCACCAAACACCAACCATGGCCAAGGCCCCAAAACACCAACCTCCACAACCCTCACAACCCTCACACGCCCCTCCCCGCCTACAACCCCTGCGATCCTTGTGGCGGCTGTCCCCCACCAGGATGGTGATACCCACCACTCCCATCCCACTGCCCACCCACGCCACCATCCAACCCCGCGGCCGTCTGCCCCGCCTGCTGATCGCGCCGGCCATAATACCCATGGATCTCCGCGCCCTCATCCAACGGCTCCAGCCCCGCCGCCGCATCCAGCCCCTGACCCCCACCCCCGCCGGGTCCCTGCACGCTATCACTCCGCCGCCTCACATGCCCGCGCACGCCACCACCGCCGCCGCCGCCGATGCTGGTGTTGCTGCTGGAGCGGCTTCTGACGCCGCCCGTGGTGGTGTGGTGCGTCACCGTCGGCCCGGGCCCGGGCCCGTGGCCACCACCGGTGGCGGCAATGGCGCCGGGTAGTTCGACGAAGCCGCCGGAGCCGTCGAGTTCGGGCATGGCCGTGGGCGCGGTCGGTGCGCCCGTCGGGGCGAAGTAGGGGCTGCCCATGCCGCCGGCGCCGTTGTGGTCGCTGCCGTCGGCGGATAGTTCGCTGGCGTTGCTCTGCTGGCGCCAGTGGGTGTAGGCGTAGCCGCGGTGGTGGGTGGTGCTGGCGCTGTCGGTGCTGGCGCGGATGCGCGCGGCCTGCATGGGTTGTTGCTGGAGCGAGGCGGCGGCGGGGGTGTTGTAGGGGTGGGCTGGTCCGGGGGGCACGTCGAAGTAGCCCGCGCTGAAGTCGGGGCTGGCGTGCCGCGAGCGGTCGTCGGGGAACATGTTGGGGGATGGGGTGAAGCCGGCCGAGTCGGCGCGTCCGCGTGAGCTGGCGGCGCCGCCTCCGCCTGGTTGGGGGGTCGGTGAGGTGCTGTTGTTGGCGGTGGTGACGGATGGTGGCACCATTAGGGGGTCGACGCTCATGTCGTCCATGTCGGAGTGCAGTTGGCGGCCATAGTGCTCCTTTTGTGCCTGTGACTGGGATTGGGATTTCTTGCCGCTGGATGAGCCGCGCTTGGATTCCATCACGTCTTCGACCTGTTTTAGTCGGCGGATTATGAGGAATGCCGCGACTATCACCACAATCAACAAAACCACTACGCCGCCGATGATGCCTCCAATTGCGCCACCACTCAGGCCCCCATTGGATTCGCTGGATGGAGAACTTGCTGGGACCTTGGGGACGCTGGTCGGAATGAATTTGACGGCGGCGTCTGTGTCGTAAACGGTCTCGGTGGGAATGGTCGGGGTGATAACCGTCACGGCTGTCTCGGTTTCGGTCACGGTTTCTGTGCCAGATGTTGTCGTCAAGGTTTGCGTCACCGTGGTGGTTACTGGTTGTGTCGGATAACAGTAGGCACCTGGACCACATCCCAAGCCATTCCTGCAACATCCATCCGAAGCTGGGCAGGCAAAGTAATTCGTCGGACACATCAAGTTCGTGAACGTCGTACCGGCAGGAGGGACACAGAGTTGGTCCTCCCCGCATAAAAAACCGACTGGACAACAACCGGCTAGATTCATCCCCCTTGGGTTAGGTTTCGTTGCTAGATCGCAGCACCAGGAACACTTACGTCCGTTGACCGTGCACGCGTAGAACCCTGATTTCCCACAAGCTGTTGTAGGTCCAGCAGTTGTCGCATAGCATGAATCTACCGCGCAGGCATATCGAGAAGGGCAGCAGCCGCCGTTCAGTGACGCGGCGCAAGACGTGTGCTCGGTCGGGCAGGCTCCATCATCTCGGCGCACCAGGTCCAGGTGCGCAGTTATTTGCGCCTTCGGGATTCTGTGCACATCCCTCCATTCCCTCCCCACATGCGACGCCGATGCATCTCTCCCGAGAACCGCGAAGACGAGGACAACGGCGCACGACGAACAGGACCATATGCTGGGCATGGCGGCCTGGGTCGCTGGCGAACTCGTGGGTGCGCTACCGGCGCTTAGTTATCAAGGCACTAGGGTCGGGCAATTGGTTGAACAGGGTTCTCGGACGGGAATGCGCAGGGGGACCAGGCGGCGCGGACGGGATGCGCCCTGTACTGTGTATGTATAATCGACGCCGGTCGTTGTTGTGTCGCCGCGTGTTCTCTCGTTCAAGATTTTGGGGCGTTTTCTCGAATGCGGCCAAATCGAGCAGGCAGCGCCTTTTGTTAGTTTGCTGAGCGGGGAGGGGGCTGAGCTTTCCGGGCGCCACTTGGGGGGTGTGATGGGAAGCAAAGTTCACCACGCTCCCACGTTAGGTTGTAGTTCAGCGCGTTGGTGGGGTCTTCCACACCAAAACCACGCCGAGCCCAGAGGTAGGGCTGAGAGATTGGAAACGGGAAGGACTTGCGGAACGAAGTATTGGGTCGTTTACTGACTGGTTCCTCCACTTGCGTAGGCCAAATTGATTGGGATTGTGGGTTGGGCTGAGCATGTCGGCACGTCGATAAGGTACCTACCAGTCATGAGCTCTTCCCTCACGGGAACGAATGGGCGGACGGCCGCAGGCCCAGACACGCGAGATGCGATCGTCATGCTCCCCGCTTTAGTTACAAGACAGGGCCGATGAAGGGGCTCTCTTTGAGTTAACACCTTCCTCTGCCCTCCTCTGAGTTGGACGTTTGCAGCGACTCGCAGGAAGAAGCAATCCCACGTCCTCCTTCCCTTTAGGGCATTTATCTGACTGGCCCCCCTCATAGTCGGATTCGTGGCGCTGGGCCCGACGACGACAGGTTGTGTCCCAGTCAGCATTGTGGTGATTGGCTCATCCACGAGGTCGTCATACACGGACGCACCGAATGGGCAGCCACCTCGGCTTGGAAAATCACCGCCAGGTAATCCTGGGGTCGTAAGATACTGCTGATTCCCCGAGAAGCAGCGGGCTGCGCTGGTGAGGGTGGGTGAGGCCACCAATGAGAGCGTTACATGGTATGCGAGTGAGGAACCAACTGCAGCGGGAGAATGCCGGAGCGGGAGAGTCGATGATGAAGGAGGGGCGGGGCAGCGGTCCAAAGAGTAGCCGATGGTGCATTTAGGTAACCATTCTCGTAGGACATCGCTCCTATAATTGGGACGTCACAAGAGCAGCACAGGCAGTAACTGACGAGGCTTACCTTTGGCGTTGATTAAGTTTCCTTCCACGACCTTACTCACCACTGAGGTCAAGCTTCTCGGCGGAGACCACCCTTTCAGGTTTGTGGCTGGCGTACCTCGGTTGTCTGACGGTTTGGCCCAAACCCTGCCTGCTCCCGTTGCAACAAACAACCTTGGCGGGATGGATGGGTGGTCTGGTCGTGTACCTGTCCTTCGTCAAAGGCACGGTCAGACTAACGATTACGTGTGGGTTTGTTGAGATCTCGCATCTAACCACGCGGCAGCTAGTGCGGAGAGCGTGGTGGCGCCATCGTCCGTACATATATGCATCTCGTCACGGCGCTAAGTTGTCTCATGTTTGCACGCCCGCCGTTGAGTCTCCAGATGCAAGCAAGGATGGCGCCTCAAGCCTCCGTACTCAATGGCCCACGATGGGAGCGGGGGCCAGGCACGCTGATGAGCGGAGCTTTTGGAAGCAAAGAGAAGATGAAAGCTGGGGAAATCCGGGGAAAAGGGATTATCCGCATCTGCAGACCCCGCCGTCGGGCAGCCGCAGCCACCTGCGGGCAGTTGAGAAACCCTGACTGGCGGCCCGAGCACCTCGAATTCACCCACAAAATCCCTTCCCGGTTGAGCTTGGCTCTGCGTCTGCCGCTTAAAATGCCGGATCACGAGGACGAATCCTATGCCCCAAGCCATCAGGATACGACAAAGCGATACGATTCATGTGACGGGCATTTCTCGCGACAGAGCGACAGGGTACGGGTATGCACTGACAATGCGGAGCTGCAACGGACCTCCCCGCCATCGCAACAGGAAGGCCAAAATGGAATGTTGTGTCTCCATGCCCTCCATGCCCTCCATGCCCTCCGAGCCCCCCAACATCGCCGTCCCTCGGCGCAATATCCGGCTCAATCGAAGTCAATTCATCGTCCCACGAGATGACTGTTCCTGGATGCCAGAAGCCTGGTCACGGGATGACCGTTTATTCGCAAGATCTTCCCGTTTGGAAGCGGATCGTGCACCCTAACTACCACTAAGCCTATTATTCATCCCGACTGAAAGCGTCCCCCTGGCAGCGGGATCCCGGGGAACCTGTACCTTACCCAGCAATTCCCCGACAGTGGAGCTGCCGCCCTGATTACGGCTTTGCCATCAATCAACAACACTCTGGGCGATCGCTTCTGGCCATCGAGATCCAGACTAGAGCGTTGAGCGGTCCGGCAGATGGCCCGACACCATCTAAGCTTTTGCATGAATGCGACACTAGAGGAATGCCTCTGCATAGGCGATATGGATGCACTTCGGGTAGCCAGCCCCAGGGGCAAGGGGGGTGATGTGCTCTCCAGGCTCGTCAGGGTAACAAATGACAGACACAACCGAGCCCCTTTCACCTCCTCGTGAGCCCGAGCTCAGGGCCTTATCCCTGAAACAGACCATCAGGTTCGGAGTTCCAGGCACGCGTTGCCCAGAAGAGACCGGAGACCCTCCCCGATCCCCATCCCCCCGCACACCTTTCTCCGCAGACCTCACCTTGCCGAGCTTCCAGATGCAATCCCGATTGGTCATCCCCGTGAACGGCAGGAGGAGAACCTGGAAGCAACATGTGGATCGTTCATCTCGACTCGACCCCATCCGACCATTGTCCCGGAACCCTGAACCTACGTCAAACCAACTTTGTCATGTGTGAACTACTCACTGCCCGTCGTCACCGTCGTCCGACTATGTAGCCTGCTTCCACTTCCCAAACGACAAGTGATGGTTTTAGGGCTGACTTTGTGGCGTCGGAGATTGTCTTTCGTTTTAACCTTCGCCTCATCCCGCTCTTGTCTACGCACAACCGAGCCAACCTTCTCTTTTCCAAGTCCCCGAAAGGATCAGCAATTGCCACCGGCTGTCGTCACAGCGCGGTATGGGTGGTTACAGCAGTGACTTATAAACCTACCGGGCCATCACAATCCTCATCTCCAATGGCGGAAATAGGAAACAGAGGACAGGCGTTGTCCATTGAGAAGCACGACCTGAAGGATCAAGCCCGGAAATATTACTGGAAGGTGAACAACTCACCGGCAGACACGAAGATGTTGTTGTATACAAGACTCGCCCCCCCTAAACAGCCCAAGAGGCGATCAAGAGGCGGTACGTATTTGAAGTGGTCTCTTAAAGCCCGCATTGGTCAATCCCGGCGGTTCAATATCTCGACACCAAGGTACTAACCTCACCGCCCTTCACATAGGCTGTACGTTTTGGTACGTGAAACTCGAGGGATTTTTTGTCATTTTGTCATGATCCATCTTCTACATAGTGACCCCCACTCTAACCGTCATGAAGCAAGGAAAAGGTTTGTTCAGAACAGCCCTACCGCAGAGCCATTTACCTCGCTTGGAGGCTTCGAGCTGACGGAAAGAACAGAAGAAGAAATGCGACGAGAAGCGGCCAAAATGCGGCCGCTGCGACGAGCAGGGCTCAGAGTGCGCTTACGAAGCCGTGAAACCGCGCCAGCGAAGGCGCCGCGACTCGGCGGCGCCCGGAAGCCCTTCTGGCCTGCATCTAATGACCCGAAGGTTGTCGCAAGCCAGCCACTACAGTCACGAGTCAGATTTCTATGGCCACGACGATGGGGTTCTTGGAAGCATATTAGCATACTCCCTCGATGACCCCGTCATTGTGAGCCCATCAGACAGCACTTTTGAGGGCTACGCTCTATCATCCCTCGCACCGAGCAAATTCTTGGACGGCCACGGAGAGGATGCCTCGGACGACGGCCAAGCCGCTACCAGCACTGCAGTGATCCCACGGTCGAAGTCCTTACACCCAGACCTGGCCATGATTGCACCCTGCCCTGTCGCCTCTCCCCTCTTAGAGTTCTTCTCGCCAACCTTCTCGGAATTCTCGGACAGGCAAAATCGGCGGGCACTTGTGGACCACTTTTGCAACGTTCTATCGCATCTCATCGTCTTCCGCGAGGAGACGGGCAACCCCTTCCAGCAGCTGGTGCTGCCACTTACCCGAGGAAACTCCCCGGTCACGTACGCCATATTCGCGCTTGCCTGCGCACATTTGGAGTACCGGGGCGTAGAGAATGCAGAGAAGTCGTTGTATTTTCACAACATGGCGATCCGAGGCGTTGCGGAGTTAATCCATAATAGCAGCAAGGTCAGCAGAAACGAGATATTGGCAGCGATAATGCTGCTAGTGTACTACGAATGCGTGAGTCTTACGATATAAAGTGACAACTGAGCGAGGAGCTGACAGTGACGCAGCTCGTTTCAAAAAGGGCAATCCAATATTGTAGCAGGCCACCTCAAAGAGGGCTCTTACCATCATGGGCAGCGCAGCCGACCCGGCAGATTCAACGAGTATCTTCTTAGAGCGAGTATGTTGATCCATGTCCAAGTATCCCAGCACTATGGAAGTCGATCTCGAGCTTACATGGCACAGGCATTCCGCTTCTACGACGTTATCACAGCACTCTCCAATGGCACGCCACCACTCTCAGCGACCCCGACGCCGGGATGCCTTCAGCCGCTCCCTCCGCTCGGCGCGCCCTCTATCTCACCGCTGTGCAACGTCGACACGCTTCTCGGCATGGCCACGACGCTGTGGCCTATCATCCACCGCCTTGCTGGCCTACGCGCCCTCAAAATTGAGCTCGAAAACGCCGTCCGGACGAACGGGAACCCCTCCAAAACTGCCGTCCTTCGCACCGAGTTCGAATCGACCGCCCAAGCCATCGAAACCGCCCTCCTCCAATGGCAGCCCCAGCTCCCGCCGAACTTCACGCCCGACGCTAACCCGGACGCCGATGCCGATGCCGATGCCGATGCCGAGACTGACGCCGACACGGCCGCTGAGACAACAGTACCAACAATAATACCCATAGATCCCCAACTCACTTCCCTTCCCTCCCCCCAACCGGGGCCCGCCGACACCGAAACCGACGACACCGAGACCCACGCCTTCACCGACGCCGACATGCCCATCCCCATCCCTACCCCCAGCAACACCAGCACGCCCACCCCCACCAACCCCAACACCGCCTCCCCCCTCGACCAATCGCGCATCTCCTCCATTCACCACAACGCGCTCGCCTACCGCCACGCGGCCCTCGTCTACCTGTACCGCACGGTGCTCTCCCACCCGCGCACGCACCCCTCGGTGCAGACGCACACGCACCTCGCGCTCACGCACTGCGTGTCCACCGTCTGCCACCGCGGGCCCATGTCGGCGCTGCTCTGGCCGCTGTTCGTGCCCGCGTGCGAGGCCGTCACCCCGCGCGACCGCGCCCTGGCCGATCGCGCGTTTGTCGAGATTGATAAGCGTCAGGGGATGCGGAATATTGAGCGGGCGAGGGGGATTCTGGGGGAGGTTTGGCGGCGGGCGGATGCGGAGGTGGAGAGTGGCGTGGGTGGCGGTGGTGTTGGAGAGGGAGGTGGTGAAAACGGAGTTGGGGCTGTTGGTGGTGGTGGTGGTGATGGTGAGGAGGATGGGGAGGAATTGTGGAGGAGGGTGTGTAGGGAGATGGGGGTTAGTATTGTTTTTGGGTGAGGCAGTTGGTGGGTGTACACCGACGGGGATGGACAGAAAAGGGATTTGCTTGGACGCTTTTGGGGGTTTGCTGGCACAAGGGGACGGCGTTTTTGGGCGTGGCCGGGGGATAAAGAAAGGGGTTGGTGGACGTCGACGGCGTGTTCAAGTACATCACCTGCTGCAGGCTGGTGACACGGGGGAACCGGTCCATCCCGGGGAACGTGGCGCAAGCCTGAGACTCAACTCGACCGGTCGATAAGGCGCCCCGGGGAGTGGGTTGTATGGGGAAGGGTATTGTTTTACTGGCGCAGGCAGTGAGGGCAGACGGGGGAGAAAAGGGGAGTTCAGTTGTTATTGTTGTTACAAAACTACCGACGTACATATGTATATTTGGTATAAGCATGCAGAATCTGTTGTATCGGAGAATACTATTATTCTATTGCCAGGTTCATACATGGGGCTGGGCCTCCCACTCATTCACCTTTGGCTAGAGATGTCGTGTATCTTCTGGTTCTAGTTGATAAGAGCTCCTGAGCTCCCAGTTGTACCACATTGAGCCCCAAGATGCACCATAGCAGTGCGGTTGGAGTCTGCGAGCCTGACAAAATCGATCTGCTTCACATGTCCCAGTTTGGGCAGACCGTGGCGAAGGATGGACTTGGAAGATCGCTGCAGGGTCTTGCCTGCTGAAACGTGCATGTGGGACTTGGCCAGCTCGGCCAGTTTCCGTTTAGGCTATTTTGCATCCGCGCCGCTGGCTCAAAGCTGGGGATGAGCCCTCCACGATACTGACGTGACTGACTCAAGACCAGGTCGAGACCGGGAATCAGGAGAAGGGTTGGATTCTGTCTTCACAAGGATGATGGGTTCAACTCGAGCGGCTTACTGAGTAACTACACAGTATGTTCAACTCGGCGTGGCCGTCTGTTCCGGCCTGCTCCTCTTGTCGAGGGCCGGTCGGGGCCGTCATTGGTTCCGGAGGCCCAGCGCCGAGTCCAGCGCCGCAGATATGACCCCATCATGCATCCGAATGATGTTGCTGACTGGACACGCGGCTGGTCGGCTCGAGAACGGGTTGCAATCAGGGTTGTGGACTTTGACTAATCTTACATAAAGTATGTCGGTTTGCAAGGAATACCATGGGATACCTCAGCGCCGGGTCTCGTTGGAGAGTCTCGACGCGGGGTTATCCACAGATTGACATGTCCGACTCTGGGGTTCTGCCATGGCATCGGCCCACTCCCAACGTCGCTTATCCGGATCATGTCACGGGTTAGAGTGCCATCAGCAGTTCAAGTTTGGAAACGACGGCTCGTGAGGCTGCGAATGAAAAGGCCCGAGAAAGCTCAGAGGAATGGTGAGATCGACGCAAGATGACCATGACTGGGCCCACTTGAGGCCAAGCTGTGTAACGGTTCCGTCTATCCCGTCCCAGTTGGCGGAGAAATGCGCTGAAGCTGGAAATAAAATAAAAACGAAGGGATTTTGGATAGAAACGTCAGCCGTTGCCGAAAAAAATGAACGGTTGGTTGACCGAAGCAGGCAGGCCTGACTCGGCCGGGTCGGGACGCTGGGTTCCCTTCCGTGCGGGAAAACGATAGTTAGAGCGCTAAGCTGTTTTAGGCCGCAAGAGAAGCCGCAATTCAAGCATCTGTTGATGTCCCAGCCGACTAGCAGTATGTCAAGCACGATGACAGAGTCCCTCGTTTATCTTGCTATTTCTCCCTTTTTGAAGATTATAACTGGAACTTGAACGTCGAAACGGTCGACTTCTAGAATGGGGTCTTGATGGGGAAAGTGGGTTCGAGCAAAAGGTTGTGGGGCCGTCGTGCACAGATCATCTTAACACTGGCGCTATCCATCGGATGGGACGCTGCCGGATTTTATCATGTTGGAGAAAAGAAACGAGGAGGGCAAGAAAAAGATAGGTAGATGTGCCTGCCCGGCCCTGCAATGAATGTGCCGAAACAAGTCATTTTTTGGAGAAGCAGAGCTGCACCCGCAATTGGCAAGTTGCATGGGCCAATGGACCCGCCAGTTAGTTTAGCGCATCGAGCAAAAAGGAGACGAAACCATCGTACCATCCGTTAGTTATCGCCCCCTGCCTTCCGCAGCGCACTCGGAAGATGGCCAGGCGACATGGTCGGCTTCCTGCAACAAAAGGACTTTCCAGGGCCATGGCACAGGAGAGGAGGGTACACTGGCACACACAGCCAAGCATCTCACCTCCCATTCAACTGACTGTCACTTTTCAGTTTGGCTCGGCGCTGTGACCGAAGACCCAGGGTGGGCCTGGGGTGACGGGGTGACGGGGTGACGGGAAAGAGGGGTCGTGGAAGACAAGCCATGATCGGGAATCAAGCAGGAACGATGATGGAAGCTACCGCCAGGAATCAGGAATCAAGCAGGAACCATGGAGCTACTGTCGGCTTGCATGTGTCCGAAATACGGCTCAGCCGACTGGCAGCACAACCCCCTCCTAATATTGATCTGTTCTTCAGCTATTGGTCTTTTTTGGTGATTTTTTTGGGCGGCTATCATTCGTTCTCTCGCTTGCCTGGGGAGCCCAACCGTTGCAAGGCATCGTGAAAGCTGCCGGCACCTCTCATTTTGCCCGGGGCTCTTTCCGTGCTCTGTTCCGCTCTTCTCCCCGCCCCCCATGCCTCAATTTCTTTGGCTTCTCACACCCTTTCCCCTTCCCCCTCAAAATTCTGAGCCTGAGGATTCCATCATTCTTTTTATCGCACCATTCGGTGCGCTACTCAGGCTCCATTGTCCGTAATTGACGGACAAAGGTACGCCGACTCCGAAAGATAATTCTAGCCAACTGGCACATGACGCGAAGAACCAGCACAGAAGCTCCGCAAAAGGATCGCTGATCCTCGGCCGCCACAAGTTGCCCACCGCATTGACTGGCCTCTATTTCGTACACCTCTCTTCTCCCAACCGGCAAACCGAGATGACTTCCTCCAAGGCTCCCTACATGCTATCCGCCTTATGATCATGCTGTGCATCTACTGATCGTCACGACTGAGCCCCGAGGCCTTGGGACCGCTTCCTCACACTGCAGTGCCAAGACCACATTCAGTCTCCTTCACATCTTTTCCCCACCAAATCCCAACATCCTCCTCATCGATTCCTGCTCCAGCCGGAGCGCGGGTATCCCGCCATCTAGGGCTCATCTCACCGAGTCCGCCCCAGTGCCTTAGCCGGCTCAACATGGTTTTGCTATGAGGAGCGCCCGACATGACCACCCCGATTACCGGAGCCGTGCCGCCACCGCCGAAGCAGATCCGCTTTGTGAATAACCAAGGTCAACCCCCGTCTAAGCGACGGAGGATCAATGCAGCGTACGTATTCCTCCATCTGCTTGCCTTGCCCTCAATGCCCTTTCTCGTTACCCATCCCTCATACCCGCCCCCTGGGCTACTCCGGTCACCCCGGCATGCCCCATGGTCCAAAACGCGCCGCTGCTCTCGCCGGCGAAGGGGTCTCGGTACTATATTTGGATGGGATTCTAAGAGTGCACAGCTGCTTGACATGCCGCAAGAGGAAAACGCGATGTGCAGGTGAGAAGCCGGATTGCTCGACTTGCAAGAAGAATGGGCACGTGTGTCTGGGGTACACGGATCTCGTGGACAGGAAGAGGGGGGAACCTGGGTACGATGAGTTTGTGGTACCGAAAAGCGAACCGGCGGACACGCCCAATCTAAACAATGGCACCGGCAGCGCCTTTCTGGAGGAGGACGACGGAGATGACGAGCGGGAACGAAGGCGCTGGATGAACAAGACTGCGCCGCCGACCGCCGGGTTTGTCGACCAGGACGCCATGTCGAGAAGCGACTCCCGCTCAAGCACGACGGTCGTCGCAAGTCGCCCCCATGAGCCCAACAACGACTGGGACCGAGATGGCAAACCGCAGAGTTCGGCCAATATCATGAGATATCCCAACGTGCCTCGAAACGACTCTTACTCGGAGGACAGCCGGAGCACAAACAACCGGTCGCCCGTGCAATTGGAACGCCACCGCGTGCCCTACTTTCGATATTTCGGTCCCACCGCCATTGTCCCTGGCTTTAAGCAGATGGTGGTGAATGTGTATCGCGACAGCAGACGAAAGAGCCGGGGCAACTCGTTCTCGACCACCTCACCCGGGTCGCTGTTCGGCCACGGTACCCACCATAACCACCACGAGACGGCCGTGGAGACACTGGAAGATTTGCCGATATACGACGTGAACAGCTCCGGCCCAGTTCATTCCTTGATCATCTCCCTCGTTGATACTTTCTTTCTCCATCTTGGCTGCAACTACCGTTTCCTGCGCAAGGATCGGTTTCTGCTCATGCTCAAGGAAAAGCGGATCGAGCCTATCCTGGTTGATGCCGTGTGTGCCCTGGCCGCCCGTTTCTCCGAGCTGCCTATTTTCACGAACAATCGCGACGGGAAGCTGAAGCGGTCTGAATATGGCCATGTGTTCGCCCAGCGAGCCAAAGCGGCGATTGTCGACACCTTCCCCTGCCCCTCAGTTGCTGCTGTCCAAGCTTGCCTGCTGGTGGCGTACGAGGGGTTTGGTGCCGACCAGGATAGCGCGCTGTGGATGTACCTCGGCATTGCCATCAGGATGGCCGTTGATCTTGGGCTCCAAAAGATGGAAGGCGTCAAATATCAGGGTGAGCGCGACCCCTGGTACACGAGATGCTGGAGCCGGAAAGACCCCGACGGCACGGATGGCATCGACAATAACCATAATGATGAGGAGACCCTGAGCCCGGATGAGCAACAGGAAGTGGAACAGGAACGTATCGACACATTCTGGTCGGTCTTCGTCTTGGACCGCGTGATTTCGTCAGGCACGGGCAGGCCTGTGACTTTCCGCGACGACGATTACGAGCTCTCACTTCCACCTCCAACAGTTGACCCCGTTTCGAACTGGCCCGACCCGTTTCCTCCTTTCATCGAGATCATCCACCTATACGGCCGCGCCTCGGACGTCCTCAACAACATCCGGAATGCCAACGACCTCACCGAGGAGAAGATGCACAAGCTCAAAATCATGGAGCGGGATCTCACGGCAATCTACCAGAAGCAAGATCAACGCCTCCACTTCAATGCTGTCAACTTCCGCGAATATGTGAATGCAAATCAAGGGACCAACTTCATCTTGCTGCATTTCTGGTTTCATGCATTGGTCATCATCCTTCATCAGCCCACCTTGCTCACGCCATTCCATAACCTGAGCCCAACCCAGCTGTTGGCGAACAGCCCAGAGCTGCCAAACAGTCGCGAGCTGTCCATGTCAAGCGCCAAAACGATCGCCGATATCCTGGCATTCGCCGAGTTGATCGACCCCAAGAGCCTGATTGGCAACCCGTTCACGTCACAGCCCATTTACATTGCCGCATGCGCCTTTCTCATGGAATCGGTCGCGAACACCTCGCAGAACCCTTCACGAGAGGCTTCATTAACACCAGACCCTAAAGCCGATCAATTTAAGTCGCCCGCTGGAAGATACTATTCGAACCATGACCCTCGCCCTCTGAAGCATTCGCTCCTTGCGTCTGCCGCCAACCAAAACTACCAGCGCTGCCACAAGTCCCTTCAGCAACTAGAACAATATTGGGGCGGCGTCGGCTACATCCTCACGGCTTTAGACCAGAAGTCGAAGGGCATTTGGGATTGTGAGATACTCACCAATGAGGAGTACGAAGCTATGAAAATGGCGCGGCGAGGCCCTTTGAGCCGCCTGTCGAGATTTGAGCATCCTGCCTCACCCAATGTTCCGCCTATCGCATACTCACTTACTGGCACCACGAACTCCCCCAACTCCAATCTTACTGTCCTCTTTCAGGGCAGTCTCGGAGCACAGTCCGCGACCCCTGCCTCTGCCTCCATCACGTCAGTGCCGCCGCAACCGTCATCCGTCCCAGTGTCTGCGGCAACTCCTCCGGGCAACATGATTTACGACCCGATTCGACAGAGTCTCCCGGAAACACCCCCCGCATTCCCACCGGCATACCTGCAGCCGAATGTTTCGGCCGTGCGCTACCAGTCGCACTCGTCCAAGGCGCACCGGCTTTCGCAATCGCCGGCAGTCGGCAAGTCGATGTTGAAGTACGAGTCACCATCCCCCGGCGATCTCGACCAGGGCAGCCTACACCACGAGATCAAGCCGCCTTTGTATGGGTTGCGGCCCAGTCACGGCCCCCTGCATCACTCGTCCTACAACTACTCCGCGTCGATGCACACAGCGTACGACGTTATGGGGCATGACCGCTCACCGTCCAGCACGCCAACAGATTCGGGCATGGGTCCGTCACATGCGTCGCACAGCCATGGTCACGGCCATGGTCTTAACCACAGCCATGACAACAGTGACGACCATAACCACCACAACAGCTACGAGGCAGATTTTGCGCAGAGCGGCTTGGTGTCCGGCTCGTACTCGTACATGGGTCTAAACCCCATCCATGATACCATCACCTTCAACAGCCAAGAGGTTAACTTTGATATGCTTGGGCTGCAAAGCGAGATGATGCCGCCGTGGTTGGAGATCCTGCCGGGAGATGTCTTGGGCGGATTATTTGAAGGTGGTATTATGGGGGCGGCTCAACACATGGGGTAGCCATCTTTCCTACCTCTTATTCGAAGTCACTGGGATGGGAAGGTGTCGGCCGTGCTGCTGCCGACCTGAGTCATCAGGCTGGAATCTAGGTATCATGTTTTTTGGCTACATTCAAGTAGCACCTTATGTTTTGCGACATTGTTTATCCTGATGTTGCTTTCCCGACTCACTATCCCGATTCATTCTTCGCCATTCTATTTTCTGCGGTTTCTTTCGAAAGTCGGCGAGGACCGTTCTCATTTGCCTGGTACATACAAGGGCGACACCATTGCACTCTGCAAGTGGTCGGGGCGAGCGGCACATCAAGCGGCCTTGGCTGGCCTCCCACCTAGATAATAGGAGCTGGATCATACATGGCGCGGAATATGGGAAAGGGAGGAGAACGGGCTATGGGATGAATCTGGCATCTTTTCTGCACACGAGGAACATGACGGGATCTGGCGCATGGGAAGAAATGGAGGGGGCTAACAAACAAAGGTATGGGACAGGTGGGCTGGCCTTTTGAGTTTTAGTTTGCACATGACTTATTAATTTCTTTGGATATTTTGCCCAGTTACTTATACTGGAGCCGATGGGCGTTTTAGCGAGTGAGCGTGGGATTCATGTGAAGGATTCAATACCATCAATGCATGCGAGTTTACTGTTCCTTGACCTGAGCATCCGATGGATCCAAGTGAAAGTGAAGAGCCGCAGGGAAGGCTGTGTGGAAACATGACGATGAGAGAAACACCTTTGTAAACCGCTCTGTATATACAGCGCGACTACACCGTTGTAATCGCGAACTACCGGAGAAGACAGAATAAGTAGCATCGATAGGCTTAGATATGCCCCAGTCTGAAATGATGCCCTGACTCAACAGAGGTGATGCGGATGGGAGAGCGGCGAGGTGATACAATAATAATAAATAATAATGAAATAAGAAAGCTATGTACATCACTCTATGCAAGCCAGATATATACATATATACAGATACGATTTCCAAAATCCCCAACAAACTCAACTCAAGGACTCCGTCCTCTATCAAGCGGAAAACACCCGTCTCCCTCACCAAGAAAACACCCAAGAAAAAGTCGATACCCCGTCTCTCTCTCTACTTAATCATGACACGGTCGTTATTTCTCGCTCCTCATCCCACCCCTCACCCCCTTCCCCCCTTTATAACCCCCCCCTCCTTCAAAGTTGCGCCTGCGCCTCGCCCAATTTCTTCGTACAGAACGCGCCAAAGTACTGATTGAGCGCATCCACGGTGGCACTGCCCTCCTCCAGCGCCACCACCACGCCGACATAGCCATCCGGACGCACGACCACGACGCCGCCGCGCTCCTGGTCCAGCCCCATCTTGGCGTGCGCGCAGGCAGTCGCATCTGGCACGCGGCGGTCCCAGCGGTCGTCGGCGTAGACGTGGTCGCGGTAGCGGGCCAGCAGCGGGGGCAGGTCGCGGTCGATCTCGATGTCCGGGCGGGGCGCGGCGAAGACGGTGGCGACGGTGAAGAAGTGCGAGTGCGGGTTGTGGCGCTCGTGGTGGCTGACGAGGGCGCGGTCGCGGCGCGCATAGGTGGTGTAGAAGGAGTTTTTCTTGGCGAGGTTGGCGGCCAGGTCGCGGAGGGCGGCGGCGGTGGTGGCGGGCTTGCCGGCGAAGATGAAGAGGCGGAAGGAGCCGTTGAGGGGGATTTCTTGCTCGAGGTGGACGACGTTGGCGTCGACGACGCGGGTCACGTCGGCGTTTATGAGGAGGCGGCCGGGGACGAGCTTGGTGGTTTTGGGGTGCATGACGTGGGATTGGGCCGGGTGGGAGGGGGACCAGTTGAGGGCGTTGGCTTTGTAGAAGACGCCGTAGCCGCTGGTGAATTCGCAGGATTCTTTGAAGGTGTTGATGAACTCGTTTCCTGACTGGGCGCTGTTGGTGGCCTGGGCGGAGGCTGCGGCGACTTCGACGGCGGCGGGCGGGCGTTGCGAGAAGAGCTTGGCGTATTTGTTGTCGAAGTTTAGGAGGGTCTCGGCCACGTTCTTGCGCTCGGGTTCGTATGTCTCTAACAGGCTGCGGTCGGCAAACCCGGCCTCGACAGCGTGGATCTTCCACGCCAGGTTCTGCGCGTCCAAAAACGCAGTGTTCATGCCCTGACCGGCTTTAGGCTGTGCACAGGGTTAGTTCGTCTTTGCTTCCGCCAGGCCGTACAATCCGGATAACTTACGCTATGGGTGTGGCAGGCATCGCCACCGAGAAACACGCGGTGGTCCAGGGTGTACTTGTCAGAGATGCCCTGGCCAATGGGGTAAACGGAGTACCATTCTACCCTCTCCCATTCGATCGAGTAGGGCTGCATGATCCGCTTTGCGGACGCCTGTACTTCCTCGGCGGTCGCGGTCTTCCGGGGGTGGAAATCGGGGTCTGTGGAGGAGGCGATTTGGATGTAGAGGCGGACCATGTTGTTCTCGCGGGGAATAACCATGATGGAGCCGTTCTCGGAGTGGATTGTGCATTTCATCTATCCCAAGTCAGCAAGGGAACTTATTCACTCACAGGGAGGAGTCAACGTACCTTGATATCGGGGAAGTCTGTTTTGACAACGCCGTCCATTACACCCCACACATAAGCAATGGGGTCTTTGTGCTTGATGCCAATCTTCAACTGGTCACGGATAAACGAACGCGCGCCCTCGCCACCAAATAGGTACTTTGCCTTGACGGTTTCCTTGCCAGTTCCATCGACGTGCTCTAGATCAACGGTGACGGGGTACTCGGGGTCCTCTTTCTCGTTGGAAGTGAAGCCCTTGATGGTCCACGGCCGCTGAATCTTGACGTCGTTCTTTTCGAGGTCGCCGATGAACACGCGCTCGATTAGGCCCTGGTGAAGAAGTGTTGTGAAGGGATACCTGGCGTCGATAAAGCTGGGGCAGCTCGCCCAAGTTCCGGTCCGGACGATGCCCTTGCCGGTAGTTGGCGGGTCCCAGAATGCGACCTCGTAGACCCGGGCGGGTTTATGGGCCATGATGGCGGATTTGAGCCCCATGTTCCGGAGCAGGTCGAGCGAGCGGGGCTGGATGCCGTCAGCTCGGCCGGTGGGCGTGGGTTCCGCCCGGTTGTCGATGTGCTTGATCTTGTAGCCCCATCTTGCCAGGCAGGTCGACAACATCAAGCCGACAGGGCCGGCGCCAACAATGACTGCCAAATTTTGTCAGTGCTCTGCATTGTGCTCGAGGCAGCCCGTATCAGCTTACCGATGTCATAGTGGCTAGGGCTGGGATGCCTATCCGTTTGGGCGGCCATCATTCACTGGGTATTTCTGAAGGTCGGAATGCGGAAACAAGGATGGGAAGGAAAGGACACTCGGGTATCTAGAGGGAAAGGATAAAGTTTGGACGATGTAACTACCGAAGATGAACAGGCTGATTAAACCCCCAGAACAAGTTGGGGGGCGTGGGAAGATATTTGAACACAACGGTTCACAGCTTTCCGGGATCCGGGTTATGACCCGAACGTCGGTCCAGAACTACGGAGATAGTACAAGAGGAGACGCGATCAAATCACATCGCTGGCTGGTGAAACGCGATTAGGATGGCACAAGTTGAAAACGCGGCAAGGAGTTCGGGAAGAGCCAGGGTGGGAGGCTGACTCGGCGTGATGGAGAAAGCGAGGGCGACCGGGCACGTCAACTCGGGTCGGGCGAGTGATGAGCGATCATGTGTGACCCGGCAAGGCGGGCGGCTGAAGGCGAAGGAAAAGAAAGCCATTGGGGGGGATCCCTGGTACCGTCGCTCGAACCGTCGGTCTCGCAACATCTTATCCTAATGTGGGGTTCCTGGGCATTGTGACGCTGTCCATCCAGCTTTCTTCTCCAGCAAGATTCGCCATGTCCGCTCTGGCTGGCTGGCGCGAGGGGAGGGGCGTCGTCGGGACTTAAACACGGGAATGAGCAGCGGGGCCGTTGTGGGGTTCCCACGGCTCTAATAATCGGGAAGGGAAAAACGGGTCAAGGCCGGTTTCGATTCGGCTTCTTTGCCAGCTTTGGGGTTCCACTAGCGGACCGACAGATAGCAACCATAGACTCGGGCGGCTGTCGTCGTTCGCGTGTCGTTGCGATTGGGCCGGCTCTCCTACCGCCCTGCGTGACTGCACCGTAGCGCAGCCGATAATACCTTGTCAGTACATATGGTCAACTATCTGCCAATCCACCGAACGATGCACTTGACCGGGGGGAGGGGGAGGGCCAGGCGGTTCCATCAACGATCGCCCTCCTGCGTCGCCGTTACCCGAAAGCCGTGGGAAGAGCCGCATGGTAACAACGAGCGGCTAGGCCCTTCGAGGTGCTCACGACGTATTCCCGTGTGGCGTCGATGTCGACCTTGGCAAGGGTGAACTGACAGGGGTCGTGGTGAAGTCAAAATCGCGGTGTGCTCTCGAAAGGTCAATCGCTTTGCATTTCGGCTTATCAAGCGGGCGAGGTCGCCCTTGTCCTCCTCATCTGGCTCACTGATTCCCGCCATCCGCTGCCGTCTCACCGTTACCGTGCGATGAACCTATGCCAACGCCGCACCCCTTGCCAACGAGGAGTCCGTTGCTCTCTAACTAGCCTGTGAAGGTGCTCGTGGTCAACCGGAAATGTCGAGTCCGGTCTTCGACTGGTGTTGGATCTGATGGATTGGGCTGCTCTGCCGCGACTGGCTTTTGGGGACGGGAGCTGGGGCCAAATATTATGGTGGCACCACGGCTGGCAAACCCGGAATAGCGACCTTGGGTGGACACTGAACGCTTTCATCGAAGCCCATCGACCTCTCTTCTGACAACATAGGGCGGATGAAACTTGATAAGCTTGGCTGTCCTTGACTATTCTATTAGTTTGGCCTCAAATCTCGGCCACAGAAGCAAAAAAAGGAAGAGTTTCATTATATGTGTCTTCGAGGTATGTTGCTTTTCGCTGGAATCGGAACCCAGACTAAATAAACGCCACCATTGCCAGTTTTGTATGGATATTACCTAGGCAAATATGGGGGGATGCCAATCCGTGAGTCAAGGAGTTCATTCTGTGTGATCTGTTCCCGAATTTAGTATCATGTGGTGTGCGACGTTAGGGCAGTGCTGCCTGGTCATGGTTGTTCCCTCTCCTTTGAGCCTATGCACCAGACCCTCGCAGACTTTGTCATGTGGGAACCGCCCCAAGTTTCCATCAAAGACAGGATGGGCTGTTACCAGAATAACGTGAAATATAGACCAGATGCTAACATGCTCACTAGGTATGTTGAAAATGGGATGGTGGGATCACAGGCTGTTATTCCTTTTTGCAATGACTACACGACAACCTCCTTTATACCACCGTTTAATTAATAATTCAACCTCAACACTGGTCGAACTTCACATCTATCATGATGCTATGATCATGCTCACCATATTACGGGGGTCTTTAAAGACTTGCCTTAACAATGCGGCCGTCAGTGCAGTAATAGCGGAGAACGGGGGTGCAGAAGCCTTTGCGATCTCATCTCCCTGCGGCCTTACCCACGACATCACGGCCTGAGAATTCCGTCGATGCGAATTCTCACTCCCCTCTGCGAACAAATGACCCGCTTTGCCTTCCTTCCTCCTTGCGCCCTCTGCGAAATGCTAGTCGTGGGTCCCAAGAGCGCCGCCCAGCTCCCTCCTCGGCCGAACAAGGCGTTCCTGTTCCTGTTACAAAGCCCCATCCTCGCCCCAACTTTTACCCCGGAAGCACCACAGACCTCGAGAGCGGCTCAGCTTCCAGCCGCGTTTTTTTTTTTTTTTTTATAGCAAAATGGACAACGACCAGCGCCAGTCGATCCACGAGATCTGCCTTGCGAGACGACTGATCATCTCGCCGGCGAGGCCGGAGATGGTGACGCTGGGCCCTGCGTCGCAGCGAGGCGGAGTTTACCCTCCTGGAATCTATCCAGGAAGAGGTCGACCATGATGTCGACCATGCAGCCGACCATGGCGTCGACTGCAACAGGGAGCAGTTTGAGGAAGTCGAGAGCAAGTCCATTTCTCGTCTCCTGTGTTGACCTTACTCGCCTCCAAACCTAACCTTACGCCTTTGAACCATTAGACTACCTGATGCAGATGGGGACTGGCAATGTCCCAAGCACGAGCGCGCAAACACGTAATCCTCGCCTGCGTGTGGCCACCAAGGATGAGGACGACAACTGGTCCTTGTTCTCGAACCCGGACTGCTTACATGACCGCCACTGCGGTCACCAGGCGGGGCCCCGCGTGTTGTTTCCGCCCGGCGGTGCTGGATCGGATGAGAGGGTCTTCGAATCTCCCACTGGCCCGATAGGTACGCTGCCATTGTTCTCTCGAAGGACACTTCCATATCCCCAAACACCAAACCACGATATCCTGCGCAGTCGGGCCCGCAAGGACATGGGACACCGGACGAGCACCGAGTTGCCGAGTCAGATCGGGCCATTCCTCCTCAAATCGCAGTCCAGTGGAAGCTCCTTCGCCGAGGGCGGTGAGTATCGTTTACCCTGGCTCTAGCTCTGCCGTTCCTATTCATCCACTCGCACAATAGGTACTCTTCCCAAACAGACCCTATTACTAACTGGGACAATAGCTGTAACAGCAGACGCCGAGCTAACGCCAACCCCCGTCACAAGCGGGAACAAGCCACTGCGAACGCTCCGTAAGTTGCAAACTCCCTTCCACACACTCTCTCGAGCTCCTTCTCAACTAGTTTCGCCAACAGAAAAAGATTACTACGCCTCTCGCACGGCAAACTGGGTTGTGAATCTGCCCTCTGAAGCCTCCACTGTCCCCGGCCACATCATACCTACTCTCTCTGTAAGTCTTCCCTCCCAACACGCCGCACTTTCCCCCACCTTCCTCTAACCCTTTCGCGCCAGACTTCTCAAAACAAACCCCCCGCCAACCCCGACGATATGGGCACCTCACATCTGAAAGACTCGGCAATTCGAGGAAATTGCATTCCTCTTTCCAAATCCTTCAAGGACTCTTCGCCTTCGTCTCGCCGCGAACAGGGATCCCGCGGTGTTTACCTGCAGCTTAGTTTGACCGACTCGCAGATGGACAAACTAACAGCCGTGTAAGTGTTTACATTTTCTTTCTTGTCCAGAGCTTCTGCTCATTTTTATCAGGTTGTCTCCCGACGACAACAATCCGCCGCCCCTCCCCCGCGGCAGGGCTAGAGATGACGAACAGGACGTCGAGATCATGAATCAGGCAAGCGATGAGAATACGGCGGCGAGGATGCGATCTCGATCGCCCGAAAAGACGTACCAATCCACCACGACGCCTTCTCGGAGACGCTCTCGTTCGCCCGTTAAGTTCAACCTCGCCACCCCCGAGAGCCAGCGCACCATCCAGGGCGTACAAGCCCACACCAGAAGCTCGTCTCCCAGCAAGACACAGGACAGCCGCTTCAATCGGGGTACCCCCGTGACCCAGAGCACGCCGACACGTTCCGGCGGTCGTGGAGTTCGGAGTGCTCCCGCGCCAATTGACACGGATCTTGCACGAGCCCACGCGAGAATTGCCAACCTGCGGATTGGCAAGCAGCCCGCGGTCGTCGTTCATAACCCGCCCGAGAGGTCTCCCTCGCCTGTCCGTCAGCCTAGCCAGTTTGTCTCGCCCGACGACTCTTCCTCGTACTACTCCCAGGACTCGGGCGGAGACCGCCATCCTTCCTGTATCAGCCCCCTTGATATCCAAAATGACATCGAGCCCAGGCACCTCAGCATTCTCCAAGAATACACGGACAAGAAGAACTCGACCCGTGGTTCAGACAAAGGTTCAGAGGAGATGGAGCGGCGTGCAACGCCAGACGAACTCTCGAGTGGTCCAGAATTGGCTTACACCCCGTTAGCTCCCTTTCTTCCGCAGGGCGCGCCGACCGTCCGGAAAGCGTCCAAGACTCTGATCGGCGAAGGCGGCTGGCTCGAGAACACATCGAAGCCCGAACAGGCCGGGTCCCCTACCCGGGGCGGTGGTTTCCTTGGCAACCTCGTCAAGAAGGCAAAGGAGATGGTAAGTAACCCAACTCACCAACTATCCACTAATTCGGTCCTAACCATGCCGCAGATCGAAACCAACCAAGACATCCGCGCCCAGCGCAAGTCGCGCGAGTCCGACAACAACGGCAACAACCACAAAAGCCGTCCGACCTCGCGCAACCTGGCGATCTCGCTCAGCCCGCGGGAGCAGAGCCTCCTCTACTGCGAGCTCGAGTTCGTCATCGCGACGGCGCTCAACAACTACATCACGGCGCAGTTTACGGCGGGGCGGCTCGAGGCGGACCGGCTGCGCAAGGTGGCCGACGACTGGCAGCGCAAGGGCCGGCCCAAGGTGGTGCTGTTCCGGTACGACATGGAGACGCAGCTGGACCTGGTGCGCGCCCACGTGCACGACTTCAAGTTCTACTCGCGCGCCGCCGCCACCACCGCCATCCTGGGCATCATCGACACCGCCAAGGGCAACGCCCGCGTCCTGCGCCTCCGCACCTTCTGCCAGCCCGATACCGTAATCGCCAAGCAGCTGCTCGATTCCCAGAGCCTGTTCAACATCCTCGGCTGCCCGGAGGACCAGCAGATCAAGCTGGCCGAGATCATCGCCTTCTTCAAGGCCGCCATTGAGAGGCGCCGTCTCTGTGACCTGAAGGAGAGGCAGCAGCAACACCAACAGCAGCAGCACCAGCACCAGCAGCAGGGTGGTCACGCTGGTCCCAGTGCGGCCATCTCGGCCGTTGCCACCTGGCCGGTGCGCAATACCAGGAGCCCGATGCAGAATGATGACTGGTGGGGGGCTACTGCCGCTGCGACCACCACGGGGCAGCTGAGGGGCGGCAACGCGCCGGGTGCTGCTAGGATGGATCCCGCTGGGTATGATGATCTGGAGGAGTAGGTCCCCAGCTGGTGGCATGGGCGGGGTATGTTCGGGTGGGACAGCGGCGAGTTGCCTCGTTCTTCCCACGTTCCTTCCCCCCTTTTAAATTCCTTTCCTGTTGTCTTTTCCCCCCTTTTTTGTCCCTCTCTCTTTCGGTTCCCTCGGTTATCACATCAGGTGCAAGGCTACTTGGGAGGGCTGCTCTCGCTCAGGAGTCCTGGACTTTATCGGTTGGGGCAATGGTACGAGGGTCGCCATTGGAGCTTTTTCTCACATCTCAAAAAGAGGTCTTGGCCAAGGGCACAAGGTCGGAGGATTCTACAGTTTACAAGAGGGCCAGAGTTGGTGCTCTTTTCTATTTCTCGGTGGGAGTATGGGAGCATTCGATTTGCTTTCAGCCGCTCCCATTCTAAGGACAGTTCCTGGTGTTCCTCGTGGTCTGGCAGACATGAACGATACCCTCGAAGTTGCATTGCTGGAGTGGGCGTTGCGGAATATAGGAGGCCATGGTTTGGGGGATTTGTGGTGTTTTGGCGTCTTGTTCGATAACTATGTAAGTCTAGGAACTTGATGTTTTGTAAGCTTGCTATGAATAATGAAAATGGGAACATATCTCAGACCTTGCGGGTCTGGTGTGCCTCGTTATAAACATTGATGGCCTTGTCTGACGCTTTTCTCCATTCCGCATACCGAAGTAACTAAATGACCTTACACACATAAAAGTTGGCTTACGTTGCGCCTTGATCTGTTGCCCAAATCGTAAAAAAAATAAACTCCATACATCAATCGTTACAAATCGTTATCATACCAACAGCCCTCAGATCCTAGAGATCCAACCCCTTGCGCACCAACTCCATTCCGCCAACAAAACAAAGGTACAAAACAGCCTCCACTAACACCACTTCCTCTCCCTACCCCAACCAAAGGGTAGGGGAAAACAGGAGAAAAGGAAAGAGAAAAAAGGAGCGCAACTCAGTACCGTCTCCCCCCCTCCTCCCTATACCTCCCCTCACAAGAGGGGGTTGGGGCACGAGGAATGTTATGCTGAATGTCGAAGTGGACGATTCTCGCATGAATGCGAAGGCTGTTCTGAGATTATCACATAAGGTCCACGAATTAATGCGTGCAGGGCCATAACTGCAAAACCATCAGGTCTTCCTCACTATGGAAGAACTC